AGTTTCTGTTTGAGTCCTGGTTTTCAAAAGGGTCCAACAGATTTCTGACATTAGAGTAACTTCTTACAGATGATAAATACTTGATAAAATATTTTATGTGAAAATCATAAATACAATATTTTTATTCTTACTGAAATAAATGGATAAATGATCTTTTCTCCTTGCCTCTTAAAAGTGTATGTAAGGAAACAAAATATTCTAAGCCAGAATAAATATTTTAGGAGCTTGGATTTCTCTTTTGTATTTATAAACTGACTTCAAAAAAAAAAAAAAAACATGGAACTAAAGCAATTTACCACCACTGCCCAATGAGCCACACTCTTCAGTTCCAACGTCCTAGAACTTCAACAAGCACCTTAGACATCAAACTTCAACATTTTATATTCTCTAGACCAAGGGGGAGCAAACACTGTCCTGAAGAGCCAGACATGAAATATTTTGGGCTTTGGGAGCCACTGGTCTCTGTCACCACCACTTGACCCACTGTAGAAGCACAGGGCAGCTCCAGACCACATGAAAATGGGCATGCTACACTTCAATAAAGCAATTTGTGGACACTGAAATTTAAATTTCATACAATGTTCACAGGTCACTAAAATCTTTTGATTTTTTTTCAACCACTTCAAAACATAAAACCATTTTTAACTTGTTAGTGGTATTAAAAGAGGCAGCAGGCTGGACTTGGCCCGTGGGCCAGATTTTGCTGACTCCTGTTCTAGACTCACAAGTTCATGCTTCTTCAGCCAGATGACAAACTCTCCTAATAGTCATGGACACGTGGTGTTTAGCTCAATATTCACTTAAAAATCAGGTGTGAAATAATCCCATGAGCCTCTTTTTTATTAGCTCAACTTGAAAAAACAGAAGATCCTAAAGATGTCAAACTTTCACCAGAACTTATGCCAGGCTTACCCATAAAAATAACGTCACCCATCACCCTTTTCTTCACCACACACAATTAACAATTTACTAAGTAAAAAATAGTTGGCAGTTGTCTTCATAGATGAAGTCAGTGTAGTCTCATTCCTTTGCCAAAAGGCAGAGAAACCAGTTCTTGATGCCTCTTCTCCCCAAGGCTATTCAAGGCCAGTTGATGCAGAAAGATTGTGAAGGACAAGCTTTGGCTTCAACGTGGATTTTTAACCAGGAACTTTACTACTTTAAAAAAATTTTTAATGATTTTTTTTTTTAAAGAGCCTTGGTTTTTGCTATTTTTACTGAGACTCATTTTAAAAGCGGCTGTGCTTAAAACATTTTAGGTCTAGATGTCTCTATGGAAACCCAAGAGAACTCCACTTTTATGGCCAATGACTACCTACCTAGATTATACGTCCTACTGGATCACTATGGGCCATCTGTGATACCAGAAACATCTCAGACCTATTTTTCCAAAACTCTCTCTTACCAGATATAATTAAATTGATGTATTAGTTTTGCTGAGGAGATCAGGAGAGAAAGAACTTATTTGAGGCTTTCTTTTCATTTTTATTAAGACATCCCTGTTTAAAATATTCTTTTTTTTTTTAAAGATTTTATTTATTTATTTGACAGAGGGAGACACAGCAAGAGAGGGAACACAAGCAGAGGGAGTGGGAGAGGGAGAAGCAGGCTTCCCGCAGAGCAGGGAGCCCGATGCGGGGCTCAATCCCAGGACCCTGGGATCATGACCTGAGCTGAAGGCAGACACTTAACCATGAGCCACCCAGGCGCCCCAAAATATTCTTATTACAAAAAAGAATTTTGTAAATTTTGGCAGACATAATAAAAGAGGAAGAATACAATCAAATAACCTAACAGTTGCTCTAAAATTTATTACCGCTGATTTTTTCCTCCTCCTTTCCACTAATGTCAAATACATTTTCCTTTAAAAATTTAAGTTTCTCTCCCCAGATTGTTTATTCATTGCAAAGGAGAAAAAAAAAAAAAAAACAATGATTATATAGTACAGAAGTCAGGTGATCAAAATTAACTGGGCGACCAAAATTAACATCACCAGTGAGGAATTGATGGCCTTTGGGTGCCTTCAGATTTGATATTCTCAGAATATAACATCACCTAAAATGCATAATCTGAATATGATCATGAGAAAACACCATTATTAAAAAAAGTGAAAAGTTGGGCACCTGTGGGGCTTGGACAGTTAAGCATGGGACTCTTGATTTCAGCTCAGGTCATGATCTCAGGGTCCTGGGATGGAGCCCCATGTCCGGCTCAGTGGGGAGTCTGTTGAGGATTCTCTTCCCCACTCTCTCTGCCCCTCCCACCGCTTGTGTGCACATAGTCACGTGCACTCTCTCTCTCTCTCAAATAAATAAATCTTTTTAAAAGTTTTTAAAAAAGAGTAAAGTTGAGTGGGGTCAGAATGATTAAAAAAATGTCAATGTCATAAAAGGCAAAGAGAAGCTCTGGAAATGTTCTAGATTAAAATAAGCTAAAGAGGGGCGCCTGGGTGGTTCAGTTGGTTAAGTCTCTGCCTTTGGCTCAGGTCATGATCCCAGAGTCCTGGGATGGAATCTGGAACTGAGCCCTGGGTGGGGCTCCCTGCTCAGCAGGGAGTCTGCTTCTCCCTTTCCCTCTGGCTCTCCCCCTGCTTTGCTCTCTCTCTCAGATAAATAAAATCTTTCAAAAAATAAAATAAAATAAGCTAAAGATGCATGACAACTAAATAAGATATCTGTCCTTAGAATATTCCAATATTGTAGAGCGGGTGGGGAAAATTCTCTAAAGGACATTACGGGTGACAATATTAGAATACAAACAGTATATTAGATAAAAATATTTTTAAAAAGATAAAAGTACTGTACTAATGTTACATATATTGAAGCCAATAACTGTATTGTGATTATATAAGAGAATATCCCATGCTTAGGAAATACAGAAATATTTCAGGGCAAAAGGCCATGATGTGTGATGCGTGTAACTTTCTACCAAATGGTTCAGAAGAACAATTATATAAATTCATACATACATACAGATAGGGAGAGAGAAAATAAACAGAGCAAATGATAAAGCTAAAGGTGTAAACTGTTAATAAATTAAACTTGTAAGTTTGAAATTATTTGCAAATAGAAAGGTTACAGAAAAATTAACAGTTCTTGCCAGGGCACCTGAGTGGCTCAGTCGTTAAGCGTCTGCCTTTGGTTCAGGTCATGATCCCAGGGTCCCGGGATCAAGCCCTACATCGGGCTCTCTGCTCAGCGAAAAGTCTGCTTCTCCCTCTGTCCCTCCCCTGCTTGTGCATGCTCTCTCTCTCTCTCTCAAATAAATAAATAAAATCTTTAAAAAAAAGAAAAGAAAAATTAACAGTTCTTTCCTATATTGGCATTTTTGGCTATCTATTTTCCCTCCATAATATTCCAAATGCAACACAGGAAGAGATGCTTGTGCCAAGTAAGAAGAACGTGAAAAGATATTTTAACATAATCTTTTATCAGTGATTGAAGCCTGCCAAAGCATTACACACCATCCATCCTCAGCCGAGTCCACAGCAAAGACCAGCAAACACTGGATACTCTAGCAACTTAGATGCAATCATTTCCTACTAATTCCTCCAAGCAGGGCTGTGATTCTAAAACCTTTTCACATCCCACAACTTCCAGAATCATCCCATGCACAAAACAAGTCTCTCAGCTGTCTCTCAGACAGGCACTCTCAATGTCAATCAATTGGATTCAATCTGAACTGGAGCATCCTAGTATTTTAAGCCATGTCTAGGTAGCTAGAGAACGTGGAACTCAGGGAGCAGGATTTGCTCATCATACATCCACGGCTCGCCGTCAGAATCCCGTAGCCTCAATGTCTATGCCCTCACGAGGCTCCTATATTGGCACGAGAGGCGCCGACCTCCAATCTGCCATATGCCATCTGACCTAATTTTTTCCCCAAAAGCAGAAGAGGAAACTCTGCCTAAGACCAAAACTATGGGAGAGACTTTTCTCTAAGTCAATCACTGGAGACAGAACCAAAAAGGTCCTAACCAAAATTAAAATTTTCAGCCATGCTTAGGAATTAGGAAGTACCCATTCTCCAAAACACAGCAGAGACAGAACATATGTATATCAGTAAGTCTTTTCTATCCTTCCTGGTTTCGTTTTATTACTTTCTTGACACTTTTCGTATTGACAATCTATAAGCTAAAATACCCATATACTACTTTTTGCTTTGACTTTTTATCCTAGCTATTCCCCCTTATTATTCATTTTTCTCCAAACTTCAATCAGTAATCTTATTTAACAAATGTTTACCAAGAACCTACTTGACAAAGATGCATTAACCAGACCTACTGGTCCTTACTGGCAGCGGAGGAAAGAATCCAGGTTTTCTGTCTACAAATAATGCCAGAGAAAACGATGATATGAAGACGGTAAGTGCACTAAGGTCAGCTTGCAGAGAAGCATAAGGAGCCAGAAATGAATTATGACCAACTGCAAAAAGGAATAAACTAGTCAAAGCACTAAAATTTAATGAAGAGATAATTTTTTAAAGTAGGTAAAACTGAAAAGAAGTTACATGTAACATTACTACAGATTTAAAAGTATGCATATTCTTCTCCATAAAATTTCTCAAATGCAGTTAAAAACACACATGTACAAAACCAAGCAATTATAAGTCCTCTGAAGCATGTAACTGTGATTAGCTGCTACTCTCAGCAATATAAAAATACTTTCACCACAATTACATTCCAGCCTGTAATGTAATTCAAAACAAACAAGTCAGACATCACTCAAATGGCAGAAACAACAAATACAGATGCTTTGCATCAAGGAAATGAATCCACTGAAGAAATGCAACAGGGGCCCGGAGCCGGGCTTCTGGTGGAACCGTGAGGCCCCCTTCTGGGCAGATGCAGCGAACCCAGTGTGGCTCTGCAAGGCTGTTCTCTCACTTCCTGCTGCAGTCAGAAAGCTGAGTATCTGGGACTTCCTGCTGCAGAGACCCTTTCCAGGGTTGTGTGCACATTTTTAAATTTTAGATTTTAATTCTAAACCTGGACTTTTATAAAAATAAATAACAACTTGATTTCAGATTAAATGAACCAGTGTATTTAACTGTGCAACACTGGCAGTCCCAACCCCAAATGCCACATCCATCCCCTTTTCCCTGTTCTTTTTCTTATTGCCATAATTCTTAGCATCTTCTAAAATACTATATAATCTATAAGGTGTAGTATCTGTCTCCCCCTGCTAGAATAGCAGCACCATGTTCTGTTCATGGATTCGATGAACAAATGGAGCCTGGCGTAGTATAGCTGCTCAATAATAAAGAAGGAATTGTCTCAGTTATGCTTCTATCTTTTATTTTTAAGAAAATATTCATCTTCATCTTCAAAGAAAGCATAAGTACGGTTTTATTATAGCAATATGCTATGATTTAAAAACGATGCTCAAGTACTTGTTTTAAAAATATGCATTTTCGGGGCGCCTGGGTGGCTCAGTCGGTTGAGCGACTGCCTTCGGCTCAGGTCATGATCCTGGAGCCCCGGGATCGAGTCCCACATCGGGCTCCCTGCTTAGCGGGGAGTCTGCTTCTCCCTCTGACTCTCCCCCCTCTCATGTGCTCTCTCTCATTCTCTCTCTCTCAAATAAATAAATAAAATCTTTAAAAAAAAAAATGCATTTTCTCTAACTGCTTTATAAAAACAAAAAAAACACAAAAAAACCAAAACCGAACAAACAAACAAAAACGTGTTCTGAGGAGCACGCATTCATAGTCTAGATGTACACAACTCCTATACAAATTCCAAGGAAGTCACGGGCCCTCAACCCCTGGGAGAACAGAGTGGCTACAAAGAATAGAGGATCCAATTCTGAAAAGCCAGGCCTAAAGCAGGTGTCCACGGTGTGGCGCACTCCAGCCTGGACACACGCCCGCTAACTGGGTCTGGATGCACATTCACTGAAACAGCACTTTCCTGGCCTAGGCACAGTGATTTTGGCAAGAAGGTTACGTGCTGCTTACTAATTTCTAAAACCTCGATCTTCATTTTTTTTCCCCCTTCTTAAAATGTTCTTTAAGCTTATGGAAAAGCTAATCATTGTTTATAATTGGGAGACTTTTAAAAAGTGCTAATTTGTTCCCTCAACAGAGCAAATAGTGAGAGATGATTTCCCCAGGAGTTAAGGACATATGTAAACATGATTCAATGATGTCAACAGCTTTCAGTCCAAGAATGTCATGGAGGGGGATCAGCCTTTCATCAGAACAAGTTCAAGGTTTCTGACATTCCTTTTTCCGAACTTTTGATTTGGGTGCTGTGAAAAGAATAGAAAAGAAAAAATGAAAGAGGTAGGCCCTTGTCAAGTCTCTTCACACTGATTTGTCTTAAGTGAGGTTACATTATGTACAGCAGGGGAAAACTGACCATTTGGATTTTCCTGTTTGTAGAAGGTCTTTAACATTTCCACTGCTTCCTCGGCCCGATATCCAGGAATGCACTGATGAAATGAGAAAACTGAGAATGAATATCGGCCTATGAAAATGTGGCCTGTATCCCATAAACACAGCAATGTATACATAATTACATAAACTTATTTCAGATAACGTTAATACACTTTGGGAATAGCAGTAATGCGGGTAAGGAAATACACTACGAAAAGAATAGACGTATGGACTCACCATCACTCCAATCAACTATTATTCCTCAAGTACTATTGAAGTTACTAGCTATGTGATCTTCGGTACGATAGTTAAACTCTCTGCCTCAGCTTCCTCGTGTGTAAAATGTAGGTATAATTATAGCACTTACCTCAGAGGGATTTCATGAAGATTAAATAAGATTGCAAAAATAACACCTATTACATACCTGGCACATCGTAAGTGTTTGTTAAGCATGAGCTATTTCTATCTACTGTTATTTACTAGGGGCCCATCTTGGGGTCATGAGGTTGGGCCCCGTGTGGGGCTCCGTGCTTAGCGAGGAGTCGGCTTGAGATTCTCTCCCCCTCTGCCCCTCCCACTTGCGCTCTCTCTCTCTCAAGTAAATATAAATCTTAAAAAAAAAAAAGTGTTCAGTTTGATCTATCTTTGGTATCTAATAGAGGGAAGGGATCAATACGTGAAAGAATAAGAAACTATGATAATGGTTAAGGAATGAAATTACATGAAATATCACATGAAGATGAAATTTGAACTTGCCTTCAAGATAGCAAATATTTGAGGTGTCTAGTGGCTCAGTCGGTTAAGTGTCTTACTCTTGATTTAGGCTCAGGTCATGATCTCAGGGTCGTGAGATCGAGCCCTGAAACAGGCTCCCACTGGGCATTGAGGCTGCTTAAGATTCTCTCTCTCTCTCTCTCCCTCTGCTCCACCCCCCAACTCGCACACAAGTGCACGTGCGCTCTCTAGAATAAATAAAAATTAAAAATTAAGAAAAAAGAAAATATTTAAAGACACTGAGCAGAGCGTTTCAGGGAAAGAGTAAGAATAAACTTGGGCTATGTGAGGAAACCAACTAATGAGGGGTTGGGGGGCCTACAGTGAAAGAATTAGATAAAATGAGGTCAAAATATACAGGGCTTTGAAGGCGTGTCACAGGAATTTGGACTTGATACACTGCATCCTTCTAAGGTGCATGAAATGATAAAATGGACAGCGATTCCAGGGAGGAACATCCAGAAGCAGCCACAGGAGGGGAAGCAGGTAATGAGCACCAGCACAAGGGCCTGGTCAGTGTGGTCTACTGCTCAGAAAGAACCTCCCTTTCTCTTGTGCCATCAGTCAGCTCTTACCTGGGCCTATAAAGCCTGCATAAACTTTCCCCATTAAAAGAAATAACCTTTCGGAGTTCGATGTTTTTAGATTGCACATGTAAGTGAGATGATACAGTATTTGTCTTTCTCTGACTTATTTCACTATAGTGAAATAAGCATAGTGCCCTCAAGATCCATCTGCATTGTCCCAAATGGCAGAATTTCCTTCTTTTTATGGCTGAATATTCTATTGCATATATATAATGAAATATATATATATATAAAAGTTTTCTTTTCTTTTTTAATTTTATTTTATTATGTTAATCACCATACATTACATCATTAGTTTTTGATGTAGTGTTCCATGATTCATTGTTTGTGTATAACACCCAGTGCTCCATTCAATACGTGCCCTCTTTAATACCCATCACCAGGCTAACCCATCCCCCCACCCCCTCCCCTCTAGAGCCCTCAGTTTGTTAGAAGCAGAGAGTAGAATGGTAATCGCCAGGGGTGGAGGGGTGGGGTTGGGAGGAAATGAATAGACCGCTGATCCAAGGATACAAACTTTCAGTTATAAGGTAAGTTCTGAGGATCTAAGGTACAGCATGGTGACTAGTTAACAATACTACATTGTGTACTTGAAAACTGTTAAGAGAGTAGAGTTTAAATGTTCTCACCATAACAACAACAAAATGGTAATTATGTGAGGAAAATGGTGTGTCAACTAATTTTATTGTGGTAAACATTTCATAATCTAAACATCTATCAAATCATCACATTGTATACCTTAAATTTACACATGTTATATGTCAATTATATCTCAGTAAAGCTGGGGGAAAAAAAAATCCCAATAACCTTCCTTCCACCCTGCCCCTCAGGCAAGCTGCTACTCTGCTAGTCCCTGAGAACATTCCAGACTCCTGACTGTTGCTTGTGTGACTCTCATTTCCTCCTCAACCTCATCCTCACTGGCTTGTGCTTCCAGATATCCCAAAGGCCCCTACTGACCAAAACAATGGTTCCCTTTCCAGCCTCCTCAATTCTCTGCAGTTGTGGAGACCATTGACCATTCTCGATTCTTCTTAGCACTCTCTCCTCCCTTGGCTTCTCAGTTCTCATAACCTTCTCAGATCATTCTAACCATGGTGGGTCAGTCCCCTTCTCCTCATGCCACATTAAGTGTTCATGTTCCTCAGAGCACCCGCCTCTCCTCATGCTCTCATGAACACTAGCACAAGACACTCTCCTCTACTATGAAGTTAGACCAAAGGTCCTCTACCTTGGCTGCTCAGTGGAATCACCTGGGAACTCTGTGGGATTATGACTGAATGCCTGTAAGTCAGAATCCCACCCAGGTGGAAGATAAGATAGTGACATGGATCCTCGGTTGCCCTCCGATAGCCAGTCCCCCTGCTGTCCTAGCCCAAGGCTGCCTACGTGACCCCCCCACCCCCACAGTCCCGTTTGTACAAGGTCTGGTATGGTGAGCCCCTCCTCCTGGGAAACACGGCAAAGCCATAAAAGGGGCCTGTCCCCTCGCCCATCACCAATGAATGTTCATGGAAAACCTGCTTCTGGGTAAAGGGTTTCCCATGTAGCAAAGCAGCTCCCTCCCTGCGATCTACTGAAAGTCAGCCCAGGACACAAGGGTTTGTGAAAAACAAAACTAAAAAAGAAAAAAAAAATGTACCAATATTCTCTTCTACCCTTTCGCCTTCTTATCCAGTTGATCTGGGGTGGGGACCTCCCATAGCCACACGTAAAAGCTCTGTAATATGCAGTCCGGGATGAGACCCACTGAGTTATAGATGGGGAAAGAAACTGCATCACTCTATGATACCAAGATACTTTCAACTATCCATTATAGCTACAAATTTGTGGCTTTAATAAAAAGCACACATTCTTATTAAACTTTTAAAAACGGACCAGGTATGTATTATAAGGTAATCACCATCTTCTTTGAAAAAAATAGTTCTGTAGGTATCCTCTATGAGCTTAATGCTGCTTATAATACAGCATTAAATAATTCTATGATTCTTTAATATAAAAACAGCATCCCACCTCCCACAGACTCTCCCACCCAACCCAACCCAATAAAGGAAGAAAACACAGGGTCCAGAGACCTAAGGTATCAGTGTTTTCTTTAGAATCTCAAACACTTTAGGGCGCCTGGGTGGCTCAGTTGGTTAAGCAACTGCCTTCGGCTCAGGTCATGATCCTGGAGTCCCGGGATCGAGTCCCGCATCGGGCTCCCTGCTCGGCAGGGAGTCTGCTTCTCCCTCTGACCCTCCCCCCTCTCATGTGCTCTCTCTATCTCATTCTCTCTCTCAAATAAATAAATAAAATCTTAAAAAAAAAAAAAAGAATCTCAAACACTTTAAAAAAAAAAAATAATAATAATAATTTGGCATCCAACCTGGAGATATGGCTTCAAACAATGGTCATTCATTTCCCCGGAGCCAATTTGGCCAGGTACACACATTACAAACAAGCTTATTCTTCAGTTCACCCTGTGCAGAAATATGTAGGAGAGGATTGTGTATGCACCCAATGTCACTCATGTGTTGGAGAGAAATTTTCTACCCATGTCTGATATCCAAGGGCACATCTTTGTTCTGCCCAGAAGCTTTGAGAAATTCTTTAGCTCTTTCTCATAAACAAAGTACAGAGTCAGCAATTTACTTGCAAAGAGTTATGTAAGCAAAATTTGAGCCACCGATATAAGTGACTGGAAAAATCAAATCACTTTGCACATTTTTTTTAATGGTCAAGCTGACTGTATTGTTTACTCTCCATCGTTTTATTACAATTTATTTTCTGATGTGATGTTAAAAGTCATCTATTCTCAAATGTACAGAAGTTGTTAGGAAAGCTAATGTTCGGCTGGGAAAACTCAAAATAGAATGTTTTCCAAAACTTGTTCTCAGTGGGATTCAGCCAAATTTAGCCCTTCATAGGTACTCAGTATTCTCCTAAGAATATCTGAGATCTTTGAAGTTAACTGCACACCATGTCCAGCATTTATTAAATCCTTTTCTTTTTAAAGCATAATATTTCAGGATTAACCTTAGAAAAAAAAATCAAACCAGTTTGTGAAAAATGCTATGTGTCTACAGGACAAACTCTGAAATATCAATTCCTAATGCTCATAGCCTTAAACATAAAAACTTGGGGACAGGTGGCAAGATTAAAGGGAAAGTAGGATTTTTAAGAGAAGACGAAAGCAATGTGGATTCTTGAGTCTGGGGGAAATTTCAATTTTGAAAAGGCAGGGGGGAAAAATAATGAAAATACAGGTATTAATGCTAGACACCAAAAATAGTACATAGAACAGGGATGCCTGGGTGGCTCAGTCGGTTAAGCATCTGGCTCGTGGTTTCGGCTCAGGTCATGATCTCAGGGTCCTGAGATCGAGCCCACATCGAGCTCTACGCTCAGTGCGGAGTCTGCTTGTCCCTCTCCCTCTGCTCCTCCCCCCATGCTCTCTCTGTCTCTCTCATAAATAAAAATAAAATCTTAAAAAAAAAAATAGTACATAGCAATGAAGCAAAACGATTGGCTTTGTGCAAAAACATTGTGTGTGCACCGTAAACAGTATCTACGGTGCAGCAGGGGGCTGGGGACACTCCCTGAGTGAGAATGACAACAGGGACAGCGTCTCCAACATTCCTGAGCGCATCAGTGAGGACTGTGGGGAGATCCCTGGGAAGGCCAGGGATCTCCTTCTGGAGAGATTCTGCTCATTAAGAGAGCCAAGCACTCACCTGGAAATGATACCTGTCTTCTTCTACTGAGGCACAAATGAACATGATGGGAGGTCCCAGAGTCAGACTGGTCCCAGCATGGCTTTTTGGTGTACTGACCGCATGTGAACTATTCCCACGAACTAATCCCACGAAGAGAGCAAAGTAATTAGCAATAAAAAGCATAAACGGGTCACGTTACCTGAAATGGTCTCCCCGTATTCGGTAGGTCAGCAGAGGCGATATTTAGAACGGAGCCACAGCCGCCAAACCGTTCGTTCTGACAGCCATACACAACCAGCGGGATTTATGAGAAAGAATTAAGGTCCTGAAGAGAGTATGCAGCTCCAGTGCGTACAGTGACAAAACCAGGCCATCCTGGACAGACAAGCTCAGGCTACTTTTAAAAACAGTTAAGCTTAGGCTTAGTCTTAAAAATCACACAATCCAGTCACACAAAAGAAGAGGTTTAAAGGATTTAGAGATGAACATCTCACAATTGCAAATAATGAAAACCAAATACACAGTTGCTAAAAGTTTATAGTTTGGTGCTCTCTCTTGTCTTTCCTAACTCACTTTCTTTGAGTCATTAGAGAATTGGAGCCAGAAAGGAAGTAGGAATTTAATCCAGGGATTTTTCGCCTTTTAAAAACAGGATTGTCCCCTAATCTTTTGCCAAATAAAATATAACCCGTGCCCCAATATAAAACAAACTAAAACTGAGCCACCGTCTAAGGCAGGATGGGGACAGAGTTCTAAGGTGACCAGAACTCCCCTCTTTACAAAGTAGAGACTGTACCTGTTATACTCAAAACCCTCTGTTATTTTTAAAGTGATAAAATTTTTCACACATAGCAAAATAAGTACATAAAAACTGTCCAAGTATGAAATTGAGTTTTTGAACAAGCGAGTAATTTTTTAAAGATCTTAGAGACAAACTTGCTAACACTCTGTATTTGTGTCGCTTACTCTATGAAAGACACAATTCAAAGAGCTGTAACTTTCTCAATTTCCCATTTATCTACAATTATAACATCATCAGTGACTTGTTTTTTTACCTTATATTTACTTTGGACTTAAAATTTCTCATACATTGTAATTGGTATTAATGGCAAAAATAAACAAAAACATAAAGAGAAAGAAAAATTTTAAATCACCTATGATCTATTATTCAAAGGTGCATATTCTTCAGACCTTTTCTCTGTACAGTTTTATAATCTACTTTAATTTGTGACTTATCCTTACATAAGTTTGTTAGCTCTTAGTTTTTCTTTCTCTAGTTTTATTTGGTTAATAGTTTTACATCTATTGATATAAAATGAAGAAATCATATGATTTAAAAATCCTTCCTAAAAATTTTTTGGCCGGGCGCCTGGGTGGCTCAGTTGGTTAAGCGACTGCCTTCGGCTCAGGTCATGGTCCCGGAGTCCTGGGATCGAGCCCCGCATCGGGCTCCCTGCTCGGCAGGGAGTCTGCTTCTCCCTCTGACCCTCTCCCCTCTCATGCTGTTTCTCTCTCTCTCTCAAATAAATAAATACATAAAATCTTTAAAAAAAAAAAATTTTTTTTGGCCAAGGGGTACAATATTTTATAACTTGTTTCATTAATCTGTTTTCACATATTAGAAAGCAGGTTATGTGTCTGGCCATTTTCAAGGTTATAGGAAGGGCCCCCGACATTAACTCACGAAGTCGAAGGATACTCATCAGGCGGAGAGCCGCTGCACACATAATACACGGCTCCACGGTGACATACAGCACGGTGTGTTCAAATACTTCAGAAGGACTCTTGCCACTTCGATGACACCAATCGAGGGCCTGATCGATGGCCACCATTTCTGCATGTCGAGTAGCCTGAAAGGAGAGAGGTGCTTGCATCAACATGTAACTGTATTGTGCAAACACTCGAAAATAGATACCAAAAAAATGGGCCTCATGTTTCTGCCAACATTTTAATGCATAAAGGTTTGGGGACGCTCTAAGCACTTGGCAATGTATTTCCCAGTTCAAGTCCCATAACCTGACCAACAAAAGACACCTAATAGGAGATGCCGTGAGAATTATGCTATATTTTTAGTTAAGCACCTCAGAACCTCAAGGGATGCTCTTTCAATTAAAATGCCATAGAGAATATAAGTCTCAGGGGTTAAAAAAAAAAAAGAGTCTAGGGTTTGTGAATATTCGAGGGGAAGCCTGAAGTCTTCATAAGCATGTGCTCCATTTTCAGATGTTTTCAAGGCTGTCCCTCACTTCACTCTAAGCAAATCTGTATTTAGTTAGTGGAATGTCATCACTTACATTTTCTTTGGGATGAGATTTTATATTCTGGCAGACTCTAGAGAAAAGCAGACATTTGGTATCAGTCTCAGATACCTCATGGGTGGCGTAGAGGAGAAATCACACAGCATTTGCAAATAACCATTCTTAAGTTTGGATCCTGACTGTGACATTACTAATTCTGTGGCCTTAGGCAAGTTACATAACTTCTCTAAGCCTTGGCTCCCCCATATGTAGAACGGGGTTCACTGGCATCTACACCTCATAAAACACTGAATTACAAGAAGCGTATGCTGTGTGCTGTCTATGTGCTCTGCTATGCAATAATTATTAAAGATATTCACGATAATCACATCTATCAGTAAGCTTATGCTGATCGCTATGTACAAGCCACTGTGCTAAATCCTATGTGTGATTACAAAGTCTGTCCTCAGCAAGTGTAAAATCTGGTTGGGGCAGACAGAAAGGCACTCATTAACCTGTGACACAGAGCAGGGCGTGAGAGACGCTGGTGCAGTGGCCCGAGGTGCCATGGAAGCTAGAGGCAGGTGGAAGCAATGCTGGTCCAGAATTATGATCTCAGAGCTGTAAGGTACTTTAGAGAACAGGTTCCCAAACCTGCCTGCATACCAGAGCTAACTGGGAAACTTAACAAAAAGTTTCCTCAATTCAGGGGTTTTTTAACAATCAGATTCAGAATTACTGAATCGGATCTCCCCAGAATTCTCAGTAAGTAAGTAACTGTTGAACTGAATCCCTGCAATCAACCTCTCTTTTTTAGAAAATCCAGAGTGGTGTGGTGTCCTGGAAACAAGTAGAGAAAGTGCTTTTTGGTTTTTGGAGTTTTTTTTTTAAAGACTTATTTATTTATTTGAGAGGAGAGAGGGAGAGCAGGGTGGAGGGGCAGATAGAGAGAGCGCAGACTCCCTGCCGAGAACGGAGCCAGATGCGGGCTCTATCCCAGGATCCTGTGATCATGACCTGGGCCGAAATCAAGAGTAGGCTGCTTAACTCACTGAGCCACCCTGGCGCCCCTCAACCTCTCTTTTAGTGCTGAAGAACCACAAGCCAATTGAGGACATGTTAAAAACACACAGTGGGAGAGGTGATGGTAGTGATGAGGGTGGTGGTAGTTAGAGCCAAAAGTAGGACTCAGGTTTCCTCATTTGGGGTCAAGAGTCTTTCTGTAGTGTTTGATAGGGTAATCTTCTATAGGATACACAAACCAAAATAAAAAGGCAGGTTAATTTCAAGATACAGAAGAAACCCAGTCATTGCGGGGTTAGATGGATGACATCAGGGCATTTAAAGTTCTGATATTAAAGATATCATACCAAACCACAAAATACACAAAATAGGGAGATAGAGCAATTATTTAAAATACAGAATTCTACTCCCCGACAAGTATCTATATATTCACTAATTGCTACATTATGTTTATTACTTAGCTCACAAATGTTTTGATATCCAAATAATAATTGCTTTGTGAACCTGGGTTCCTACTTTGCATGTGTTTTCTCTTTGATAGATGTGATGGATAAACATTAAATGCCCCATAGCACCCCATAGTACCAGCACCAGCTTGTTCTCTGGTTCCCACGATCAAACGATAAGATCACAGTCTGTGTGAGTGGTGTTGTGGTTCTAAGCTCTGAGTCCACCTAGTACTTTTGATAATCATAAAATTGGATATTTCATTTATACTTACCATGACACACTGTTGTGATACCAAGAAGTGTTGCCTTAATTCATGAACTTTTCAAGCTAACCACATAATATAAAGGCACACAAACTATAATGTGTAATACCAGGGCGCCTGGGTGGCTTAGTTGGTTAAGCATCCAGCTCTTGATTTCAGCTCAGGTCATGATCTTGGGTTCATAAGATTGAGCACTGGGTGTGCAGCCTGCTTAAGATTCTCTCTCTCCCTCTCCCTGCCACACTCATGCACACATGCTCTCTCTCTCTCTAAAAAAAAAATAAAAATTAAAAAATAATAAAGTGTAATACCACATGTAGGTACAGAGACAGTAGGTGGTAGAGACTTCATTCCACTGAATTATCTAATACATGAACAGCTTCTGTTATAAAATCCTTTAATACCTCCAAAGATATAAACTGAAGGTGATTTTTTAATTTACCAGGAGGAAAACATTATTTAAAGGTACTAAAGAATGTGATATGAGTTAAATTGATGTGTTTTGTAAAGTGGAATTTTCCTATATTAGATTTGCTTAAGATGGAGATTAGATTCATATCTTCAGTACTGACACTCCAATGTAATAAAATCCCTTCTTGAGTTTCACTCAAATGCTAAAGTAAAACTCCATGAAATAGAAAATTAGCCCCAGATTGTATTGCTTCATTAAATTTTTCTGAATTTTCCAAATTTTAGAAAACCAACATGGATCACTTTTATAATCAGAGAGGAAGGCATTCAAAAAAAGAAATGTTAAGGGAAACTACCCTTCCATTACACCTACAGGTCTTGACACAGACCCATCTTCTTGCCAGCTGTGATAAAATTCAGTGCACTCCTACCTTATTGCTGTATGTTTGCAATTAAACTATTCAATCGACATACGTTTTTGGTTTGATTAACTTCATTTCGTCCCTTCCCCACAACTTCATTGTTGTAGACCATAAGGCAGCCAACAGGAACTTCAGTACTTTCTAGGGCTTGCTTGGCCTAAAAGACAAAGTAGAAAATTTAAGATGTAATGTTCAATACTTAAAAAGATTATAGGAAAGAAATAAACCAGCATAAGCACACATATATAAACCCCAGAACAAAGAAATACAGCTGAGCTTTCCCTTCCCTCAAATATAGTTCAGTATTTAGTGCCTTTGTTCTCCATTATATCCATATTAAGGGAGACTCAGGAACAAACCCCCTGCACAGGTTCTGAGCCCCTGATTTTTTCTTCTCATTGGAAGCAGAAGTGAGCAAAAGGCTGTTACTGACTTTTGTTCTTACGGTGGCAGGGTCTGTGCAACTTTTCAGAGATCATATACATATGTGTAAAGGAAAAGAATAAATAACATGTATAAATACTTTATTGAAGTCTTTTCCTTGTTGAAATTCTACTTGCTTAGTTTTTTTTGTTTCACTAAATATTATAGAAGATACCCTCTAGAGCCCCAACAGCATAAAGGTAACCAGACTGGATGTCTCTCTGTGCTATTTCTGCTTTGACACAAGAAAAGCTTTGGAGCACTCTATGTGAAAATGGCACAACCACTTTGGAGAACACTTTGGAAATTTCCTTAAAAAGTAAACATACACATAGCCAATGAACAAATTCTAATCCTAAGTATTTATTTAAGAGAAGGGAATATATGTCCACAAAAAAAAAAAAAAAAAAAACTGTAAAAGAATGTTCATAATAGCTTGATTCATAATAGCCCAAATCTGGAAACAGCACAGGTATCCACCAACAAAAAAATGGATAAGCAAACTGGCACAGTCACACCATGGAATACTACTCAGCAATGAAAAGGAACAAGCTAGAGATACACACAACTGTATGGGTGAATCTCAGACATGCTGAGTAAAAGAAGTCAAACACAAAAGCATACACACTGTCTGACTCCCTTCAGGTTTAGTACTAGAACAGACAAAACTAAATACAATGATAGCAATTTCTTCCTGGAAGGGCATGTGTAAACTGATCGGAAAGCTTTGCATAACCTGACATGCTTTAACCATTGTTACAGTATTGGACAGAACTAGCCTGTGGGTGGTTCATGACCCGGGTGGGAAGAATGCAGTCTTACTGCTTCAGCTACTCTCTCCCTACATCTGTGCAGGCCATAGCTCTGTCCTACCACGCTGGAGGAAGGAGGAGAGATATAGCTTGCTACCACTATGCTATGTGCCTCTCCTTTCACCTTCATTGGCCCAAGGACAATTTAAGTGTCAGTTGAGCATGGTTGAAGTGGCTAAGCAACCCATGTTAGCATGATGATAGGAAGTTATTGCTACTCTAAATAAAGTATAGCCAGGAATAGGGGCTAGTGCAAGAGGTAGAACATGCGGTCTTAAGCAATGTCTTCAACTTTACACTGTATATGCCTTATGCTGTGTGTGAATACCTACACTTAATTGGTAATCTAGTCTTCCAAAGTGTCTTCAGGCCTGCCAAAATAAGAAATGCTATGCCTTTCTAAAAACAGCCATACTTGGGTTTTCTTGACTGCAGTGAGATGGAAATGTTTATACCCTAGTTCAAGGGTTGTGTTCTTCATTTGTTCTCTCTCAGCAACAGGATCAGGGAGTATGCGGATATAACCTGCTTGCTTTTGCTCTCTGCCCAGAGAAGTATTCTTTAACTGTGTTGGGCTGGGACTTACCTGGTTCAGTCATTGACAGAGCTAGAATAAAAATGGACAGCCTCTGATGGGGGAGACTTTGCAAATATAACCAGTGGTTTGCCCTTTTCCAGGATGATGGTGGTAGAAATATTCTTAAGCTTGTTTTTCTGATTTATATTTTTCCATGGAGGTGTACCTTATGTACAATGAAATGCACAGACAGGTCTTATATATATTGTCCATTCAGTTTTGACTGATGCAAACATCTGTGTAACCCACACCCTTTTCAAGAGTTTTGACCACCCTGGAAAAGTTCCTTGGTGAATATATACAAATAAATATACAAATGCACCATTGGCTACTAAAGAAAGGAAAGCCAGGAGGAGGACTGACAGCCAGGGAGGATGGCGATGCTGAGTACCCACACAGTTAAGGCAATCAGCACATGAAAAATGTTATTTAAAATAAGATTGGGAGTACACAGAACCCCAAGTACACACAAGAGAGAAATCATGTACTCATCCAACAAATATTTGTTGAAGATCTTGAGATAGGGAAATTATCCTGGATTATTCAGGTGGCCCTAAATGCAATCACAGGTGTCCTAATAAGAGAGGCAGAGTAAGAGATTTGAAGACGTTACACTGTTGGCTTTGAAGATGGAGGAAGAAGCCATGCGTCAAGCAAAGAATGTTCCAGAAGCTGGAAATGGTGAGGAAACATATTCTCCTCTAGAACCTTCAGAGTGTACGCAGCCCCGCTGACACATTGGGTTTTGCCCAGTGAAATGAATTTCAATCACCCGGCATCCAGAGCTATAAGAGAATAAACTTGTGTTGTTTTAAGCCACCGAGTTTGTAGTAATTTGTTACAGAAGCCATAGGATACTAATACACTGTTAAGAAGAAGAAAAGACAAGCTAAAACAGGAAGAAAATATTTGCAAACTGCATATCCAACAATGGTCTACTACTAAGACTATATAAAGAACTCTCAAAGTTCAACAGCAAAAAAACCAAAAACAATCCCACTAGAAAATGGGCAAAAGATATTAACAGACACTTCACCAAAGAGGGCATATAGATGGCAAATAAGTACATGTAAAGATGTTCATATCATTAGCCATTAGGGAAATGCAAAATAACCACAATGAGTTATCACTACACACCATCAGAATGGCTAAAATAAAAAGTAAAAACACCAAATGCTGGTGAGGTTGAAGAAAAACAGGACGACTTATACACTGCTGGTAGGACTGTAAAATGGTACAGCCATTCTGGAAACTAGTTTGGCAGTTTCTTAAAAAGCAAGACATGCAGTTAACATATGACCCAGCAATTGCACTCTCTGGCATTCTCCCAAGGAACCAAAAGCTTATGGTCATACAGCACATAAATTCATATACAGACATAAATGTTTGCAGGCATTTTATTCGTAATAGGCAAAAACTGGAAATGATCCAAATGTCCTTCAAAGGATGAATAGTTGAACTGTGGTACGTCCATCCCAAATAATACTACACAGCAACAAAAGGAATAGACTACTGATTCACTCAACATTTGGATGGACCTCAAGGAAATCATGCTGAATGAAAAAAACCAATGCCCAAAAGGTTCCATATTCACATATATAACATTCCTGAATGCAAAATTACAGCTACAAAGAATGGATTAGTGCCTGCCAGGGCTTAAGGGCTTGAGGGTGAATGGTGGCTATAAAGGGTAGCATGAAGGAGCCCTGTGGTGACTGAGCAGGTCTGGTGGTGTTTCTGCAAAACCAAACATGTGATAAAATTGCACAGAACTACACACATGTGTGCATAGAAAGCTGATGAAATCTCAATAAGCTCTACAGACTGCATCAATGTCATTCTCCTGGTTTTGATTATTGCACAACAGTTGCATAAGATGTTACCATGGAGGAAAGCTGGGTGAAGGGTACATGAGACTTCCCTATATACTTTTTTTTCCTGCAACTTCTATGAATCTATAATTATTTCAAAAGGAAAAGTTTAAAAAATAATAATAATAATAATAATAAAGGAGTAAACAAGAAATATCTTGCAATGGAGATTAAGAAGAAATGCCTAGTAAGGTACAAGGAAAATCAGGAGTGTCAGGGCGCCTGGGTGGCTCAGTCAGTTAAGCGCCTGCCTTTGGCTCAGGTCATGATCTCAGGGTCCTGGGATTGAGCCCCATGTCCTTGGGGTCCCTGCTCAGTGGGGAGTCTCCTTCTCCCTCTCCCACTGCCCCTCCCACTGCTTGTGCATGCTCTCTCTCTCTAAAATAAATAAATAAATAAAATCTTTAAAGAAAGAAAGAGAGAGGAAGGAAGGAAGGAAGGAAGGAAGGAAGGAAGGAAGGAAGGAAGGAAGGAAGGAAGAAAAAAAGAAAGAAAGAAAGAAAGAAAGAAAGAAAGAAAGAAAGAAAGAAAGAAAGAAAGAAAGAGAGAAAGAAAGAGAAAGAAAGAAAGAATCAGGAGTGTCTGCTGTTAGGGAGGATTCGAGGAAAAAAAAAAAACAGGCCAAGAGAAAAGGGTCAGTGACACAGATGCAATTTTGGTGGAATTGGAAATGAAAACCAGTGGCTTGAAGGGTGACCTATCTAAGTCACGTTAAAAGGACGAGGTACAAAGTAACAAAGCAAATTTGTAAAGAAATTTCTAGCTTCTAACTATTATCACAGACTGTTATGTCTACCTAACAATTGTTCTGATTCTGAGCTTGCAAATCATAAGAGCTTACAACTTATGGAAAAACTTACTTTGACCCAGGACTATGAGATCGATTCAGTGAGCTTCCCCAGTTTACAGATGAGTAAATGGAGACATGGGGAAGTTGGGGATTTGCTCGGGTGAGAGGCTGGGGCCAGAATCCAGGCAATCTGCTCCAGGCATTCATTTCTTCAATAAATATTTATGGAACATCTACGAGATGCCAGGTCCTGGCCACTCCGCCTCAAATTTCTACTCTAGTCACCACTGATCAGCTACTTTGTCACCTTTTGGGTTCAAAATAGGCCTAGTTCAAGGGACAAAAGTAGAGGGAAAACTTAAAAGAGTGAAACCTGGAAAGTTTAAGGCTAAAAAACTGTAAGAGAAGAAACAAATGAGGGGGCCACGTGACAAAGATTTTCTGTAAAATTATCTCCTGAAGAATTCTGCATGTGGCTATGTAGCTATCTCAAGCACGTAGAAGAGAATTCATGACCCGGGGAAGAAGGAATGGCAGAGGACAGGAAGAACCTGGGTAGCCCAGTGGGGTTCCTAGGCCTGACTTAGGTCACTTGCAAGAAAGCCTGGCAGTCTCTCGCTCCACCCAGCCCCCAGACGACTGGGAGTGTGCCTTTCATTCTTTCCTTTGGATTTTCTCTTTTTCCTTCCGGCAAATGTACCTCCTTTATTCCGCATCCCACCTCTCAAGATTATCTTCCTATTTACTTAGAGTAACTTGTTTTTTGTGAAAAGCCTTCAGCTGCTATCCAAATGAGAGAGAAAACATGAGTGGTGGGAGTATTTAAAAGGGCAAATCAGGTTATTGGTGAAGAAGAGCCCAGCCCACCACGCTGAGGGCGAGTAGCTGAGCAGTTGGGAATGGTGGGTTAGGGAGGAGGTGGTGTGAACAACCCCCAAACCCCACGGAAATGGGTTTAGGTGAGATGCTGTTCAATAAAATACATATTTGTTTTGCTGTCAAGTTCAAAATAGAGTTAAACTAACTAAATAATTAACATAATTTTCAATCCATCCCATCTCATACTTTCCAACTCTCCCACCAACTTTCGGCCAAGTCTGATAATTTCTTTACAAATTTGCCTTCTTACTTTGTACCTTGTCCTTTTAACGTGCAGAAGTTTTTAATATTTATGTAATTAAGACCCATCCATTTTCCTCCTCTGTTTTCTGCCTTTGATGGTATAAGGAGCCCATCTCCATTCCACTAATATTTATCTACCACTGGCTCCTTTCTGGTTTTATTCTTCTTATGCTATCTCTTTGATTAGATTTTACTACAAAAGCACAGTGAAAAATTTCTTTAAAATGACCCATATCTCAAAAAAAAAAGGACCCATATCTTTACCATGTTAACTAATTATTTGTGTGTGTTCTCCGCTAGTCTTTGTTTATCTGATTAAAAAAAAAAGTTTAAAAAAAACAACAGCATTTATTTAGTGAGCATTATGTGTCAGGGACTTTACAAAGATTATCTCTTTTAATCTATACAACCCTGAGACATAGATAACATATACCCATTTTACAGAAGAGGCCTCTGTGGCTGAAAGTTTAAGAATCTGTCAAGGTTAGCTGGCTTTCAGTAGCCATTCTAGGGTTTGAACATACGCCTGTCTAATCTCTAAATGTACATGTACAGTATAAAAAATAATTTGTATTCTGCTTGCTTAATGTTGAATATTACATGTAGCTGTAATAGTTAATGTCATGTTTGTACCTAATATCCATAACTGTTTTGATAACAGCATATTATTCAACACAGTAATATACTATAATTTAACCATTTCCTTTCATCATAAGTTTGAAATGCTTCCTAGTTTTCCCTGTTACATGTAACACTGAAATGACAATGATTGCTTTTATCTTTCTAAACTATTTCCTTAAGATAAATGCCACAGAATTATATTACTATGTCAAATGATATGAATATTTTTTTTTTGAGGCTGTTAATTATATTATGCCAGGTTGCCTTCCAAAAATGTTATACCTATTGGACTGTTAGGGCTGTATTGCTTTTTGCACAGACTCACTTAGTTTAGATGACATTTTTTAAAAAAAAAATAGATTTTAAGCTTTCTCAAAAACTGTTTTCCTTTCTTTTATAATTCAGGCTTATGTCTGTAGATTAAAATCATAGACTAGGATAGAAATTTTCTAGCACAACCCCTTTATTTTAAACAGTAAGACCCAGAAATTATATGACTTGGCTGGTCTAATCAGAGCATCCTCTGATTGGTATCCTCTCTACTACATGTACACTGCATATTTCACTTTCAAATTCCTCAGAGATGAATAGATTTGGCACTAGCCATGCTTCTTGTCTAATCTTAAACTCTTCTCAGAAGTACATAGTACACCTTGAATTACTTCAACAATCTTCGAAGTAGTTCAAGATTTGAAGTTTCTGTAGTGGGCAGGGCATGACTGAACAAAGCACAAGATTTATGACAAGCACTTCTTCCCCTTTCTTTAAGACCTGGAAGAACATGTATAGGCCAAAACCAAAATACAAGTACTAAGTTAAGGTCCTCCTTGACCCTATGTAGGAATAGGTAAACTAGGTAATCACATCCCCGAGGGGTTTATAATCCAATTAAGACAGGCGCCTGGGTGGCTCAGCCAATTAAGCATCTGACTTGGGCTCAGGTCATCATCCCAGGGTCCTGGGATGGAGCCCCATGTGGGGTTCTCTGCTCAGCGGGGAGCCTCTTCTCCCTCTCCCACTCACCCTGCCTGCACTCTCTCTCTCTCTCTCTCTGTCAAATAAATAAATATTTAAAAATATATAATCCAATTAAGAGACAAAAAGGTCAAGGCTAGAGAGATCTGAGAAACTAAGTGGAGTTCAACCATCTCATTTTATAGGGTAGGAGGGGAAAGGGTGGGGCGGTTGGCTTGCCCAAAGTCAGGGCAAAAGGTAGTAAAAGGACTTAAATGTTTAATCCAGAAGTCTAGAGAACAGGGCAGAGATAGGTGGAGGAAATATTCCAATATATTATGACCAAAAGACGCTTAAAGGAAAATAAAGACCCAAAATATGAAAGGATGGAAAAAAAAAAAAAATCACAGCTCTGCTACACGAGTGGGAAAGCCCAATGACTGATTAGTTAGCTGTTTTCAAAAATACTATTAAGTCCTCCATGGTAGCATCTCTGAAAATTTTATCTAAGCAGGCTCCACACATAAATACTTTGAGAAGAGCTCCTAGGGCAAATGAAAATAAACAAAAGAGCCCATAAATTCTGACTTCCCAGCATTCAGGTATCATCTGCCCTCTGGAACTCTCACCCATAGAAGGAATCGAATGCAGCTTACTCTAACATATTTTATCCTTCATGTGTATATATCATCAAACTCACTAGTAAGAAGCTGCCCAGCATATGACATTATTGAAATGATTTGGGGAAGGGAGAGTGAGATTTTGATATCATGTGAAAACTCCTTGTCTCCAACTTAGAGGATCTGGTAACATAAAAGAGGTTCAGGACCAACAAATCCATATGACAAGTTACAAATTAATTTTTAAATGTATATGTGAACAGTAATTAAAGTATCGGAACACTACCTATCTTGTAAGTTTATTAGAGGAAATAAATTATGAAGTGAGCTCAAAGAATGGGTCATAAAATCAAGTTAGTGGGTCGGGACCAGCATTTTTTTCAAAAATCGAGAAGGAGCTTTCCGTGCTCGCCCTCGTGGCGGTGACGGCGGGCGCGCCCTGGACCTGCAGAGCATTGCCGGCGAGTTCCTGGACCTGGATGGACCTGCCGCGGAAATGCTCTGCCAGCAACCACATCATCCACACCAAGGGTCAAGCGTCCACCCAGACGAAGGTGGCCGAGGCTGACGAGGTGACAGGCAGGTTCAATGGCCAGTTTGCGCTAAGCTATGTGTGGGGCCGTTCACAGGATGGGTGAGTCAGAGGACTCCATCCTCCCACTGGCCAAGGCCAACAGCATCGTTTCAAAGAACTTCTGACTGGAGAGGATCACGGAGGTGGAATATTTGTCATAAATACACAGCACCCTCCCCCCAATTCAAGAAAAGAGAAATACCAGGGAAACTGTACAAAGGAATGTGAAGTACTGTTCTGTGAAACTTGTTTCTGTTATAACTATGTGTGTATTTACTGGGTTGTAACATAAAATAGACTTTTTTTTACTGTGAGTCACTTTCAAAAAAGTATGAGAAACAAGTTTAAAGGACATTATGTAAGTAGCAGAAACAAATGGATAGACACTGTAATGCATCATGGCTTAGAGAAAAATATTTGGCTGTAATAGTGAATGAATGCAGGGGAAATAGTACGAAAAGAGAACAGAGAGGAATATACCAAAATCAGTTTCAGTGCTGAATTCCCAATGCCAAGCACAGTGCATTCAATAAACATCTGTGGAGTGAATGAATACATAATTATGGAATTAATTAACTATTGGAGACCAGAGGCCCCTAAGGATAGGAAGAATATAATCAAAACCATGTATGAAAAAAAAAGATTTCTTTTACAGCAGCTTTAGAGAAATGTAAAACCGAAGGGCATTTTACATATGTATATGTGTGCAGGTGCATATATTTGTATACATATACATATATATGTGAAAACACACTCTTATCCCTATTAAAGAGCCCCCTGGCACACAGAAGTATGGGTGAAGCTTGGATTACACACAAATCTGATTAGAGCCCTTCTCAATCAGCAGTCCTGAAGGGAGCGAAGGAAGTTAAGAGGCTTGAGGGCAGTAGGAAAGATGAATGAATGGTGGGATCTGGCTGTACTGGGATTTGTTTTTATCCTGATCTATCGGACACATCCTCGGCGTCCTTTCTCCTACTAGATAGGTTCAAGAGGTCATAAATACAGAAGAATGAGACTTTCCGGATTTGCGAGTGTGTCCCCGGGAGAAGAAGGGGACGCAGCACGTTACGTGCCAGCAGCAGCTGAATGGGGATGTTTGGCTCAGACGTGCCAGTATCTCCTCTCTTCCTTCCCCTACAGCACTGTGCGAATGGGCTAAAGAAAATTTCAGGACAGTAAAGCCAGCTGTCTACCCAGAAAACGTGACCGCCATCGAGATTATGGCGGCGAGAAAGCACACCCAGGACGTCTGCTCAAATGCTCGGGTCGAGAAGAGGGCTAAAGAAAGTTCCCACCCAACGGCATCCACCTTCTGGACTCCTCACCGTTTGCATCGCTTCCTCCATCCACTTTTCGGTCTCCTCGGCCGTCACCGAGCACGCGCCGCCGCCAGGAGCCGGCGTGGACGCCGCCTTCGCCTCCATACCGCACCCGGGCCGCGGCGCTCGGCGCCAGGGGCGGGGCGGGGCGCAGAGAAGCGCGGGTAACGGAACGCGGCGACTGCGGGCCACCGTTTCCAGGGAAGTCGAACGGCGATGCACTCGGGAGCGAATTCTGAACGGACCTGGGAGCCCCGGACCAGTGAGCGGGGGCCGCGGCACGGCGGCAGCGACAGAAAGCGCCGCTGCTCAGCGGTAGTCCACGCCCCCTTCCCGCCCCGGTGACAGTCTCTGCGGAAAGTCGCGTTCGTGATTTCTGGAGAGCACCCAACGGGACGACGGCGGTCCTGCCTGGTCGTTCGGGCCAAGCGACGAGGCAACGGTTTCCTGGCGAAGTGCCCACCCCGCCCCGCGCCCCTAGGCAGCCCGTACCTTTAGGGCCTGAGGATGCTGAGATCTATGTGGAATTTTCTAAAACGTCACAAAAAGAAATGCATCTTCCTGGGCACAGTCCTCGGAGGTGGGTGACAGCGTTCTCGGAAAGGGACTTTGGGAGCACGGGGCGGAAGAGAGGTGACTGTCTTCTGAAATAAGGCCGGGCGACCATAGTCCCGGATATGCAGAGGAGATTAGTTCACCCGTCGGACGGGGCGCGGGTGACAAACCTCTAAGGTTCTTCGCACCTCTGCAGCTGTGGAATTTGTGTCTTTTGTCCTGACACTGCCGCTTACGCTGTTTCTCTCCTATCCTTTCTTCTCACGGACCTTGGGAGAAGCCACCACAATTAAGTTTCTGTTTCAAGATACCATTCTCTTACAGACACGTATTTTTAAGTTGTTCTTTTCCTGTGAGAGTCTTCGTTTGTGTTGGCACTCTCTGTAGTTTGTTTGGCTTTCATCCTTCTCAGAAGTTTCGTAATAGTCTAGGAGAACCTAAAGCCTGCACTTCCAGTGTTGTTTACAGTTAATTTGATTTAAAAAAAAAAAAAAGCAGCACGCAGGTAGACTAAAGGACTGCAAGACACATACTAGACAAAGAAACACAAATCAGTATTTTAGTTCTGTTTCTGCTTCTTGAGAATACAAATTATGCAGTAAGAAGATGTTTGGAAGATGTTGTGCAATCTTCCTCAGGATCTTCAAGGTTAGGATCAGTGCCCATCTGTGTGGCTGACATAACTGAGTCAGCTGAGGCTGAGAAGACATTTAGAAACAGGTAGGATCATCGTGAGAGCCTTTGCCTCATATGGTGATCATGTCATAATATGCAGGATTTGAAGGAGAGAATAAGAAGCTTTGTGAGACAGAAGGAAATGTAGGAATGTTGAGAGAGAATTTTTAGCATTTGATTTTTTGAGAAATATCACTAACTACATGCTTTGGTTGCAGAAGTACTTAGAAAACAAGAACAGAAGTTTTCTAAAGAGTTTGGTTGCTTTTCTCTATTAGATTATATTCTATTGCCTCCAAACAGTTTGAAATTAACAATGCTTTTGGCATCAGTAACTCACATCTGTTGATTCTGGAAAGTTTGAAATCAGCTTATTGATGAGGTAAGGAAAGTCTTCCTCATCTCTGAAGTCTTTCACAAATCAGTACATTTTTATGTGAATTTTTACAGCATTCTTTGAGCAATCCTTTACAAATAAATTTTCCAGTATCTTCAACCACTGACATCTAATGTACAGATCTCCCTCAACTTGCAATGGGATTATGACCCAATAAACAGATAGTAAGTTGAAAATATCGTAAGTCAAAAGTACATTTAATATTAGCTAACCTACCAAACATCATAGCTTAGCCTAGCCTACCTAAAATATGCTAGGAACACTTCCTTAAGCCTACAGTTGGGCAAAATCATCTAACACAAAGCCTATTTTGTAATAGTGTTAATATCTCCTGTAATTTTTTGAATACTGTACTGAAAGTGAAAAACAGTGGTTGAATGATTACAGAATGATTGTAAGAGTTGTTTACTCTCAATGACTGCGTGGCTGACTGGGAGCTGGGGCTCACTGCCACTGCCCAGCATCACGAAAGTATTATACCACATATTTGCTAGCCCAGCAAAAGATCAAAATTTAAAGTATGGATTCTACTGAATGTGTAATACTTTTGCATCATCATAAAGTCAAAATTTGTATAATTCAGGGACTATCTGTGTATTTCAGTTATGCTAAGAATACTAAGTCCATTTTATTTGTAGAAGTTAAAGATACACATATTATGGAAGAAGTATAAATAAATTTTTTTTGCCACTACTGAAGGAAGGAAAATAATTTCTTCTTAGCAATCTCAGAATAGCATACCCCTTCAGATCTATGGAACAACTTAATGGTAGATTAGACATAATGGTAGGGGAAGCAAAAGAGTATACTTAAGACAGAGTTATAGATTTTTTCAAAAATCTTTTGAGAGCTTTATAATTACACATTAAGAGAAATGAGAAAGGGAAAAAAAAAGTTCAGAGGGACAGAAAGAGAAAATAATGCTAGTGTTTTATATCTTCCTACTAACATGTTACATTTCAGTTAATCTAAGACATATTTATCCAGTGCCTATAGTGTTTAAGGTAATATGATTGGAAATACAAGAGTTACAGATTTTTAATAGTAATAGCTACCATTTATTGGGTGCCCAGAAATAAATGTACTAAGCTCTTCTATTCAATGTGCAGGACAACAAGAGTAGTTATTACTGTTTCCATTCAAAAATGTTGGAACTAGAGTCCTAAGAACTGAAGAAACTTGCCCAGAATCTCAGAGTTAATAAAAAGGAAACTAGAATTCAAACCAGGTGTGTTAGATTCTGAAGCACTTTGTCTTTGCACACTATACTGCTCTGCCTTCATGGACTTTATGGTCTGACAGGAATGAAAAACAAGTGTCTTAGTCCACTAGGGCTGCTACAACAAAATACCACAGACTGGGTGACTCTAAACAACCGAAATTTATTTCTCTCAATTCTAGAGGCTGGATCAGGGTGCCAACAAGGTTGGGTGAGGGCCTGCTTCTGGGTTGCAGACTTTTTGTATCACATGGCAAAAAGGGTAGGGGTCTCTGTGAAGTCCCATTTATAAGAACACTAATCCCATTCATGAAGGCTCCACTCTCATGACCTAAGCACCTCCCAAAGACCTCACCTCCTAATATCATCACATCAGGCATTAGGATTTCAACATGTGAATTTTGGGGGGACACATTCTGATTATGACAAGTATACAAATAATTAAAATACAAAACAATAAGACAGCTGGGAGGGGGAGGAAATGGCATACAGATCAAACCAGCAGAGAGCATGTGCAGTTGGAAAGAAATAGAAAAGATCTTCATGGAAGAAGTGGCATATTTTGTCAGGCTTGAAAACTAGGTAAGATATCAGCATGTTTGCTCAAAGAAGTTTGGCCATTCAGTGGTGGAAAAAACCTAAAACTTTGAGTTACAGGCCTTACATTCGAATTTCCTGCATTTTGGGTAAGTACCTGCTTTCGACCAATTTGTACAATTTGACCAGTTTATAAAATGTAAACTTTTTGGCCTGAGGTCTCCTTTACACTTGTAAAAATTAAAGACTCTAAACAGCCTTTAAAAAATTGTATCTATTAGTAGTTGCCATATTAGAAATTAAAACCAAGAAATTTTTTAAATATTAAGTAACAATAGTAAACCCATTACATATTAACACAAATATTATTTTTAAAAAAAATAGTGAAAAGAGTGGCATCATTTTACATTTTTGCAAATCTCTTTACTGTCTGGATTAATTGAAGAAAGCTGGATTCCGTCTCTCTTTCTGTATCCAGTCAGTTGTGTTACTACATGTCATGTAGCCTCTGGAATACTCTGCTGTATCAGAGAATGAGAGAGAATGAGAATGCAAAAGACAAAAACTACAAAAATAGTTTTGACTCACAGATTCCATGAAAAGGTATCGAACACCTCCAAGAGTACCCAAGCCACGCTTCGAGAACCACTACACAAGAGAAAATGTTGCAGAACAGAGAATAAGCAGATTATATTTACTGACTTGCTGATTTCTAAAAATCTCAGAGCATTGACTTATAATTTAAATCTTAATCCCTGTAATTTTTGGTCTCTTTACTTTTCCATTTATTCATTCTTTCTTTCATTCAACAAACATTTGAATGAAAGTGAGTGCCTCCTCCCACTATATCAGGCTCTGGGAATACAAAGGAATAAGACCGTTCTTGACTTGGAGGAACTCGTGGTGCTGTCTGGAAAGCAGAAACGGAAATGAACAAAAGTAGTACAATGATAATATTATAGTACCATAAAAGAGCTGGTGCTGTGGGTACTTAGAGGAGAGAGAAATAAATGTGAAGTTGTCTGACAGGCTTCACTCAAGAATTCACTTGAGTCAAGTTGTACAGCTAGCAAACGAGAACGGGACACAGCAGGAAAAAGGGATGTTCAACAGATTCAGATATATTGCTTGTGATGAACCAGTGTATCTGCTATGGCTAAGAACAGGGAATAAATGGGGAGTGACAAAAGATGAATTTGGAAAACTAGCCTGAGTGCAGGTTGTGAAGGGCCTTCTATATTGTGTTATTCTACTGAATCTGGACATTATCTTGGGCACCAGTGCTTCTCGACTTTCCTATGATAAAAATCACTTAAGAGGCTTAATAAAAACATAGAGTTTTCTTTTTTTAAGATTTTATTTATTTGTCAGAGAGAGAGCACGCACAAGCAGGGGGAGTGGCAGGCAGAGGGAGAAACAGGCTCCCTGCTGAGCAAGGAGCCCGATGCAGGACTTGATCCCAGGACGCTGGGATCATGACCTGAGCCAAAGGCAGACGCTCAACCAACTGAGCCACCCAGTTATCCCAAACATAGACTTCTCTTTCCCAGATTCTAATTCTTTCGGTCCAGACCAGTTCATTTATTCATCAATTATCCAGCAAGTATTTATTGAGCTCCCTCTGTGTACCATATTATATATTGGGGATGCAGTATTGTACAAGACAAGACATTTGGGGATGATTTCAGGGAACTCTCTTAAAGGCTACATTTTTAACAGGTACTTCAGGTAATTCTGATGTAAGTGGAACAGGGAATCCACGTTAAGATGGCAGGGTGTTAAAGAATTCTAAACCCAGGAATATGTAGTCAGATTTAAATTTTAGAAAATCACTTGGCATGTAAAAGATGGATTGGAAAGGTGTGAGACGAGAACAAAAGCGGTGAGGAGGAAGCTGGAAACCAGTTTTTAAGAGCATTATTCAGAATCTGAATGAAGACAATGGTAAAGAAGTTGGAGTACAGTGGCAAAATTTAGAAAATATTTCCAGAATAAAATCAGACTAGCAGGACTTCGTGTTTTGTTAGATTTTAAGCGATGATAATAGATTATTTTCAAACTTACTGAAATTATTAACCTAGTAGTAATCTGGTAAAATTGTTGTATTGCAGGGATTTTCTTCCAGGAAAAGAAGACAACTAAAAGATAGTTTGAAAAAACTGAATTTATAATGTGGAAAGACTAGGAGAGATTTTGCTTTACCAACAATGTTCTGAAAGGAAACCTCAAAACATTTTCATTGGTTTGGCGGGGGGATTGGTTTTTTTTTTGTTTTTTAGATAGCTGGAGGGTAGGGGCAGAGAGCTGGAGGGGGAGGGAGAAAGAATCTCAAGCAGAGTTCAAGCTGAGTGCGGAGACCAACGCAGGGCTTGATCTTAGAACCCTGAGATCACGACCTGAGCCGAAACCAAGAGTTGGACACTTAACGGACTGAGCCACCCAGGCACCCCCATTTTTTCAGGTATTTAGTGATTGTTTCCATTATTCATAAATAAAGTTATAGCTACAGAAGAAACTTGTAAAGCACCTTATAATCCCAGCCTTTCATTTTATGGATGAAAAAATTTAGATGCAGAGAGAGGAAGAGGCTTGCTCAAAGTTACCTACCTAGATGGTGCCACAACCATCAATATCTGTTGTCTTCAGATGATTCAGGAAGCCAGTTGAATATATAGATGATCCTGAATCCCATATTTTAGCTAATGAATTCTCTGCCTTCATACTTTCCTAGGGAAGAAAAAAAATCAAAATTTATTAATTTTAGGAATGAGAGCTTGGCTAAATTTGACTTTTATATAGTAACTTCTTTTTATATAGTAACTTACTTCAGTGCTAACTCAAAAAAAATAATGCGTTGTGGGATTTTAGCCTAATTTCATGTATTAGTTTGCTAGTGTTTCTATAACGAAGTACCACCAACTGAGTGGCTTAAGCAACAGAAATGTATTGTCTCATTGTTCTGGAGTTCAGAAATCCAAGATCAATGTGTTGGCAGGATTTGTTCCTTCTGAGGGCTGTAAGAGTAGAATCTTCTACAGGCCCCTCTCCTCGGTTTGTAGATGGTTATTGCCTCTGTGTCTTTACATCATCTTCCTTCTACACATGTCTGTGTCCAAATTTCCTCTTACCAGAATACCAGTCATGTTGGATTACAGCTCAACCTAATTACCTCCTTTTTAACTGGATTACCTCTGTAAAGACTATCTCCAAATGAGGTAACATTCTGAAATAGGGAGACTTCAACATATGAATGGGGGAGAGGTGTGTGTGACACAGTTCAACCCATAATAATTCATTTTCTTTTAGCTTTAGTTAGAATATATAACACCTATCAAACAAATACAGTAGTTCCTGAAAAATTTTTATCAGACACTGTTGAGAATCTAATGAAAGCAGTATACCTTTTCTCCCAGAAAACACATATACCAGTTATTTATTGTTATTCCAGAAAATTCTTAGATACACAATGGTCATCACTGCAGTGTTTCACTTTACATTATTATTATTTGAGACATGATAATCATTTTACACATAACTTTAAGCAATCTATTGTGCAAATAAAATACAAGCAATTCATTGAGAAGTAGTTGTTAACCTAAGAATTGCCTACCAAAGAGTTATTTGTGAAATATAAGTCAGTTTCTTCACTCTTTGGTGTTATGGCACTGTCATCAGTTTATTGAGGATGCATTACAAAAAAGGCAGCTATGAAGCCACTTATATAATTTTCATTTGCTCTTTAAGCATGATTATAATACATGTATTATATTTGCAGGACATACCTTTTACTGAACTATTATTTTTAAGAATATATAATGTGTTACCAGTTCATCTATAATGCTTATATTAGGGGCGCCTGGGTGGCTCAGATGGTTAAGCGTCTGCTTTGGCTCAGGTCATGATCCCAGGGTCCTGGGATCGAGCCCCCCGCATCGGGCTCCTGGCTCAGCGGGAAGCCTGCTTCTCCCTCTCCCTCTGCCTCTCCCCCTGCTCATGCTCTCTCTCTCTCTCTCTATCTCTGTGTCTCAAATGAATAAATAAAATCTTTATAATGCTTATATTAGTGAAAATATTTCAGGATGTGTGTTTGTTTTGCAGTTCCTACAGGGCCGTCTCCTCCCCACTTGTGACAAACAGACTAAATCCAATTATTTAGGTCCTGCACAGTTCTTAGGTTCTTTCTGATAGATATTGAGGGCCACAAGCACTTGGAGATAAGTGAGGATCAGTTACTCCCTTACAAATTTGTTGCCAGGTTATAATGAAACACATGCTGGCACACATAAAAACATCCTATTAGTCAGTATAAATAAAACAGTATCATAACTTGTTTTATAAGCTTATTGAAGTCCCAGTGTCCTCTTTCAGTGCGGCAACAGAACCTTGCATGAAAGATTGCCTGAAGATGGGGCACCTGGGTGGCTCATTTGGTTATGTGTCAGACTCTTGATTTTGGCTCAGATCATGATCTCAGGGTCCTGAGGTCAAGCCCTTGGGATTTGCTTTCTCCCTCTGCCTCTCCCCCGCCCTTGTCTCTCTCTCTCTCTCTCTCTCTCTCTCTCTCTCTCAAAAAAATAAAAAGAAAAAGATTTGCCTGAAGCAATTGCAAAAGTATTCCATTTGTAGGATTCTATTGGCCATTTGGTTAACTCCTTTGACTAAGAATCCTCCTAATTAGCAGCTGAAGATTCAAGGCTAAGTCATTCCTAAGGATAAAGGACTTGCTAGATTCATATATTCTTGCTCAAATGAGTATTACTAAAATGTGTTGGCTAATCCAGTATCTTAAACACCACTAATTTAATCTCTGAAAATCCACTTCTGATATTCATTATGTTAGATAAAAGTTAGTTGAAGTACTTAAACCTTGGAGTGTGGCTTTTGGTCAAATGCTAATCAACCACTCTGAAGTATTCACATTCCCAGTTAGGACAATTAACTGCCCCTGGGGCATAGACCAGAATGTGCACATTTATATCATCTGTCTATGCTGAAATGTGTTCAACAAAATTATAGGCCTCATGACCCCACCTATATTTTTATGCTGTGGTGTTGTAATTTAGGAATTTCTATACGTCTTCCCTTTTCCTTTTCCACTGAAAGTACTAGTTCTCGATGTCTGCCTGACTACCTACCTTTCCTGTATTCTTTCTTTTAAAAATTTTATCTTTAAATAAATAAATAAATAATTTTATCTTACATTTTAAAAAAGTATGACATGTTGGGGCGCCTGGGTGGCTCAGTCGTTAAGCATCTGCCTTTGGCTCAGGTCATGATCTCGGCGTCCTGGGATCGAGCCCTGCCTCTGGTTCCCTGTGTTCCCTCTCTCACTGTTGTCTCTCTATGTCAAAATAAATAAATAAAATCTTCAAAAAAAATTTAAAAAAATAAAGTATGACATGTTGACTGAAGAAAATATGGAAGATGCAAAGAAGCAAATAGAAGATAAAGATCAGCTGCTATCCCACTATGCAACAATGATTATTGTTTATTTATGTTAAAACCCATCTGTTTTTTTCTGTGTATGTCTACTTATGTTAAAAAGGGAAACATCCAGATCTTATTTTATAACCTAACAATATATATGGATATTTCCTTGAGTCATTAGCTAATTTAGCAATGTAGTTTTTAACAGCCACATAGGATTTCATAAGATTATTGTATGGATAGACCATAATTTATTTAAACAATCCCTTATTGCTGGACACTTAGAATATCTCCAGTTCGCTATTAAAGGCATCGCCAGACTTGTACACTTAATTCCTTTCTGGTTTCTTCAGACTTAGCTTTATGTACCCATCATTGGCTGTTAAAATGCCAGTCTCCTTTTCCTTCTATTTAGGTCACAATTCCTACATAAGTCTTCAATTTAGATTTTTAAAAGTTGTGATTTTTAACTTTCCATTGATATAAACCTTATATTTGGATGAAGCAGGTTAAAAATACTGTTTGGAATTTTTAATACTCAAATTAACTAGATTAACATACTTGCTTGTTTTAAAAATATAATTTTAGGAGTATATATCCTGGGAAAATATGGACAGAAGAAAATCAGAGAAATACAAGAAAGAGAAGCTGCAGAGTACATTGCTCAAGCACGACGACAGTATCATTTTGAAAGTAACCAGAGGACTTGCAATATGACAGGTAAGGCAAAGAGAGATATTTATACATGTATAAAGTTACTTGATGATTGGGTGCCTGGGTGGCTCAGTCGTTAAGCATCTGCCTTCGGCTCAGGTCACGATCCCAGGGTCCTGGGATTGAGCCCCACATCGGGCTCCCTGCTTAGCAGGAAGCCTGCTTCTCCCTTCCCCACTCCCTCTGCTTGTGTTCCCTCTCTCCCTGTGTCTCTCTCTGTCAAATAAATAAATAAAATCTTTAAAAAAAAAAAAGTTACTTGATGATTTATATTAATTTGCATAGCTTCAGGACCAAAGCTAGAGGAAAAGGCAAAAGAAGAATGATAAATCTAGCAAGGATTTATATAATTTAACTGAAATACATCATTAAATGTTGATTTTTAAAATCAGTATAAATCAATATACAATATGCAATAAATGCTTGTTCACTCACTTTATTTATTCACTCAGCAAATACTTGGGGTACCCAGTGTTGGGGGAAACAGAAGGTGAAAGATTAAAAAAAAAAAATCCCTGACCTTTAGAATTTATATGCTAATGAAAGTAACAAATGATAAACAACATATAAATAACTTTAGGCAGTGATGGCTGCGATAAGGAGAATAAAGCTGTGAGAGAGGTGGGGATATTCTTTAAGAAATGGCAATCAGGAGAGTCAGGCCTCTTTGAGGAGGTGACATTTGAAGAGAACCAAATGATTCAATGGAGGGAGCCATGCAAAATGCCTTCGGTGGGCACAGACTTGATCCTTTCAAGAAATAGCAAAAGGGCTATGTAGCTAGAGCAGAATGAGCAATGGAAGAGTAGTAGGAAGTAAGGCTACAAGGATAGGCCTGATTTCATTAGGCTTTATAGCTGTAGTAAAAATTCCTAAGTGTGTTAAATTTACTGTAGGCAACTACAGACCCATGAGTGTAGCACAGTAGTATACACTAATCAACATGAATTAATCAACATGAATATGGGGCGCCTGGGTGGCACAGTCGTTAAGCGTCTGCCTTTGGCTCAGGTCATGATCCCAGGGTCCTGGGATCAAGCCCTGCATCGGGCTCCCTGCTCAGCGGGGAGTCTGCTTCTCCCTCTCCCTCTCCCCCTGCTTGTGTTCCCTCTTTCGCTGTGTCTCTCCCTGTCAAATAAATAAATAAAAATCTTAAAAAAAAAAAAATCAACATGAATAATTTAACTTCTAGAGCTAGAAACCTACTGGGAGAATGCCATAACAAAATCGACTGCCCACATTTGAAGGGAACAGGTATTAATAACTGGCATAACCCCTTAAAGAATTAGTTTTCAAATCCATGTCAAACCTGTTTTTCTTTGCTATTGTTTAAAGGTTAGTCTTTTCTCTTATGCTTCTTTTAAGAACAGTTAATTTAGAAAAAATTGTAAAGGTAGGTTCTCTTTATTTACTTTTGAAAGAGTTTTTTTCTGAGTTTAAAGGACTTTATTTTTAGTATAATCATAATACTTAATTCTATAAAGCAAATAGTAATCATAAATACTGCATGTAATGACAACTCAGATAAAATGCATTAAGGAGAGCTTGTGATATGATGAGCACTGGGTATTATTTGCAACTAATGAATCACTGAACTCTACTCCTGAAACTAATAATGTACTATATGTTAATTGAATTTAAATAAAATAAATTTTTTTAAAAAACAGTGAGTTCAGTTCCCAGGTTTTCCTTGTAATATCCCTGTATCTTTGGGCAAATCTAAATCTCAATTCTCTTTTCTATAAAATGATCATCATAAAACCCACTTCATAAATTTTTGTAGAATGTGAGGAGATAATGCATATAAAGTGCTTGGTGCATAATAAATACTCAGTAAATGATAACTTTTTAAAAATTACATAATTCTTGGGGCACCTGAGTGGCTCAGTCAGTTAAGCATCTGACTTTTGATCTTAGCTCAGGTCTTGATCTCAGGGTCATGAGTTAAAGCCCTGCATTGGGCTCCATGCTGGATGTGGCGCCTACTTTAAAAAAAAAAAAAAAAGTTACATAATTCTTTAAATTGATATTCAGCATCAATGAAGTGATGCTACCAAGGACATTTCAATGAATTTTTAGAAAAGAAGGACAGTCCATTTCCGGTTATTACTCATATTTTCAGAAAATAGAAAAAGGTAGTCTAGAGTCTGCAAATACATCTCAATTTGACATGGACCCTTGTGTCAGTTTTTGTTCCCTGGGAAACAGATGCTAAGATGGGATTAGATGTGCACGAGGTATATTGGGAACACCTGCAAAGAACAAAGGGGAGGGAGCAGAAGGAGGCAAGGAAAGCCTTTAGATCATAGTGCAGGTCTTTACACGTGAACGGAAAGGGAGAAGGAAGAAGATTAGATAAGAAGAGTCTCAGCCTACAGCACAGTTCCAGCAAAGTTTTGGCAGGCCAGTGGGGAGTCCTTAGGTCAAAGTTCCCTGGTAGACAAGACCCCCAGGAATGGACCTGTGTTGGTATCGCCACAGACCACTCTCATTGGCTGGGAGCGGTGCAGACCTGGTATTGGATCGCCAGCCAGCCATGCTCCTAGCAGATTTGGTGGCACATTTCCATGACCATCACACCCCTCAGATGAATCAATTACCTACCTGCAGATAGGTAATTAAAAATAAAATACGGTAGGAGCCAAATATAAGTTCACTGGAAAACTTTCCAAATTAGCTTTCTGATATGCATTGATAATGGGGTTATAAGTCATATGATAAACTTCTATCCTTTTGAATAAGATGCATGGATATACTAGAAAAATTTAGTAGTTTTAGGTAAATAGAGCTAGTTTTTTTTATCCAAAAAGTTGGCCCCAACTTGAAAGATATCTAATAAAATGCTTCTGTGTTCTGCCCAGTGACTTTATCCTCCCCATGATTTTACTAAAGATTCAGGAGAGATGCTTATTAAATTTATACATGACAGAGTGCTAGGCTGGATAAATGAATTGTTCTGCATTAAAAGTCAGTTGTACAGATACAGAATTATCTAAGCTTGCTTGCAAGCAGGATATATGAGTAAGGGTTGGGAGTTCTAGTTGAGCATAAGCTGGTTATAAACACTTTGATATGACTTCTAGAAGTACTAATTTAATCTTAGACTACAATAATAAAATCTTTGATTCAGATCAAAGGTAGTTGCATCATGCTCTGGAGTAATCAGAGTACAGGAGGGGTGCCTTAGTGGCTCAGTCGGTTAAACGCCCAACACTTGGTTTCAGCTCAGGTCATAACTTCAGGGTCATGAGATCCAGCCCTAGGTAGGGCTCCATGCTCAGTGCAGAGTCTGCTTGAGATTCTCTCTCTCCCTCTGTCCCTCCCACTCATGCTTTCTCTCTCTCTCTCAAATAAATAAATCTTAAAAAAAAAAAAAAAGATACAAACTGGAATGTGTCAGAAGAGGCCAAATAAGGATATAATAAGGGCTGACACTTACTGAGCGTTCTCATGTGCAAATGTTCTAAATGCTTGATATGTCTCAGTTAATCCTTACAACAATTCTATAAGGTAGATCCAATGTTATCCTCAGTTTACAGAGAAAACGGAGGCACTGAGAGGTTAAATAACTTGCTGAGAGTCGCACAGATTTCATAGCTGATGAAGGGTTGTCATGTGATTTGTGGTTGGACCGGGGGGTATTTATCATGGAGATTGGATGGCTAAAGGAAAACATGAATGCTGTATTCAGCTAGATACAGAAATATAAATATAAATACAGAAACATAAAATATAAAAAAAAAAAATGCCTGGAAGAGAAGAATTGACTTGTCTTTGGTTGAATAGGCTGAAGGGGAAAGTAAAATTCTTCTCTCAGAAGAATTGTTGAAGAGACTCCTCTCAAATCATGTTGTTTTACCACATAATCTTTAAATTAGTTTCTTACTACCTCCATTTTCTGTATGTAGGACTCTAGCCTAATTTTTCTTGGTGGGCTAACATACCGCATTTGGGCTAGGTATATGTACCAAATACACTAAGATAAGCTACCTTTTACATTGGCTCTGAGCTGTGACTTTAGTTAATAATCTAAATGACTTAGGTGATTTAATCATACAGCTTGAGGAAATACACTGAAGCTACATAGTGCAGCACTGAAATAGATGTCTAGAGTAGGCTAAAACTAAATGTTCTATAGAAAAAATAATACGGATTTTATAATTAATATGTCTTACCTAGTCAAGAAATAAAAATCCTACACTGAAGTTTTTCCCTTTTAGAATATGGTATTTTTGATCTTTTGATATTTTTTTCATTTTGTTATCATTACTTATTTAGTGTTAGAAACTCATTTTAAGTTGTTATATTTGCATTTCTCCAGCATTTCTTATACTATGCAGGAGCCATAAATAAAGTAACTTCTATAAATTACATGCAGTCGTTTTTTCCATAGGGCACTATGTCTTATTTTATCTATGGTATTCTTGGGAGTTACAGGCAATAACCATTGGCAAAACCAAAAGTGCAACGCAGCAGTTCTTAATTCCCGGCCTGATGCACTTTTGTCTAGGTTTCAATAAGTGCTTATTGCTTTGTAATGTTCAATAAACTTTTTTAAAAATAGAAATAAAATATGAAACAAAAAGTATAAAATAAAAATGTTGGTTTTGATCATTTTATTACATCAGAAATAAATTCATTGTAAAAAAATTTGGAGAGTACAGAAAAGAAGAGAAAAAAAGATGATTATTAGTATTCCATTGTCCAGAGACCAGCACTATTAACATTTCAGAATAATTCCTCCCATTCTTTCTTGTATGTGTACTTGTTTACATTGCTGTGATCGTACTATATATATATAGAATTCTATTCAATTAACATAAGCAGATAAATGATTTACTAGCATAAACTCAGTTTTTGTTATTCTTAATAATAATTTGAAAACTCTAGCCCTGACATTCCCTCCCAACCCTTGCTAGTTACTAGTCCAATCGTATAGCCTAAATGATGTGCGTTTCTCAGTGAAAGCAGTCACATCACTTGCGACCTTTTTTATTTTCTGTTTGCATTACAGTGCTGTCCATGCTTCCGACCCTGAGAGAGGCCTTAATGCAACAACTCAATTCTGAGAGCCTAACCGCTCTGCTAAAAAACAGGTAAATGCAAGTTAACATCATTTTTTGTTTATACAGGGCACTTACATTTATAGAATGGACTGAAATATTTTTCGAACATCTTTGTTTCCTTATTTTTCTTTCTAATTGATGCTTGTAATATAGAGACTCATTTAGAAAAAATAGTGACTCTGTCACTGAATTCATTCTATTTTGTCTATGCATTTTTGCTCTACCTTGATGCACAAAGTATTTGGTCAACAATATTTATGTGTATTCTGGTTTTCATATAAATATATCTTATATCACTTTAACCTTATTCAGAAATTTAATTATTGAGTGCTTATGGAATGTGTTCCTGAACCAGATGTTTTGAAGCTAAGTTATATTAAACATTGTGCTTCTTAAAGAGTTTAAGGTATAATAGGTAAAACATGGGAACATTTTGAGTAAGGCATATGAATTTACATTTTATATTATTAACAAAATGAAGTGCAATTTTTTTTTTGACAGAGAGAGACACAGCGAGAGAGGGAATACAAGCAGGGCGAGTGGGAGAGGGAGAAGCAGGCTTCCTGCTGAGCAGGGAGCCCGATGCGGGGCTTGATCCCAGGAACCTGGGATCATAACCTGAGCCAAAGGCGGACGCTTAACAACTGAGCCATCCAGGGCCCCCATCAAGTGCAAATATAACATGAGCATACAATAATGATAATTTACCTTACCATGACAGTTCACTGAGCACAAAGCATTTTTACACATAGGACTTCCTATATGGAGTACAGCCTGTGTTGGGGTTTTGTAATTTAGTATGATGCTGTGTTCATTGAGGAGACTTCCAGAAGGAAATGGTTTCTTATTTTAATGAACAAGATGAGGGAAATGGTTTCACTAAATAAATTTTAATCATTGTGACCGTATTGAAATATTCACTTTCCTTGTAATTACCTTCCAATAGCCAGGGAAAAGGAAGTATTATTTCTGGAGGGTCTCTCTGAGCTGAGCCCAGTACTAGATACCTCATTTTCACAATATCCTTGTGAGGCAGATATTACCATCTGTATTTTGCAGAGAAAAATTTACTACTCAGGTAAAATAACAAGCTAGAAAATTTCTTTAAAAGCATTTTCTATATTCAGAGAATACCTCCCAAAATAACAATGGATTTGTTTACTTGGGATTTTTTTAATCTGATTAAAGTATAATGCCAGTAATACAAATTTTATCATTTGTAGAGGGTGATGCATTTTCATCACCTAATAGTTATAAAGTTTAGTTTATAAATTAGTTTGTATAATTACATACATAAGAAACATATAAGCATATTTCTCTTGGTCAAATAAATGCTTAATTACCACCTATAGGTACATAAGTAGAGGGTAAAGAAATACGTACATGGGGCACCTGGGTGGCTCAGTCGGTTGACTGTCCTCTGAATCTTGATTTTGGCTCAGGTCATGATCTCCAGGTGGTGAGATGGAGCCCTGCATGGGGCTCCGTGCTCAGCAGGGAGTTAGCTTCTCTCCCTCTCTCTCTGCCCCTACCCCCACTCACTGTCTCAAACAAATAAATCTTAAAAAAAAAAAAAAAAAGAAATATGTACAAGAGAAGTAGATAAAGAACAGAAATAGGTTTTAATTGCCTTAAGTTTTAGTCTTACTAGGGAGGTAAGACAAATGAAATAAGTGAATAGCACTTTTATAAAAGCAACATAATAACACACACAATAAATATAGTAGCATTCTTCCTTCTTGGTGACTGTTTCCTGCAAGGCCCTGTGTTGCCTATGTTTTGGAGGATTTGAGATAATTAAGGTAAGATTTCTCTCCCTTAAGACTTTGTCACCCAAAGAAGGGAGTATATGACATAAATTGTCATAATTCAAGACATACTGTGTTTAGTCCATGGTAAAAAGTGAAAGCAAAATGTGGGAGGCTTAAGAAGAAAGGGATTTATTATTTTGATGGAAAACCCTGGACAGCTTTCAAGAAGAGGTGTCATTCCTCTTTTCTTAGTCAGTACACAAAATTTCTTAAATTCCTGAGTTTATTATTCCTTATTCACTGTTTCCTTTTTTAAGTATCTGAATGTTATTTTTTTCTTGCCTTTCTTTTGATATAAAATTACTGTTTGTAAGTTTGGGGTAAAAATGTCCATTTGAAAAATATTTGCATAAAGAGGGGCTTGAGCCCTTACAAAGCGTGTTTAAATAAGGCCTTCAGGATTTAAGTACCTTGCAGGATTTACACCATACGTCTTGAACATGGAAGGGGATAACTGAAACTCTAAAGTCAGTTCAGTGGCAAAGAAAGATAAGAAGCTAGTAATATCCCACAATTGTAATGGTAATTGGGCTTTTTATTGAAATGTAAATTTATGTCTAAATATAATAATAAAGAATATGGGTTTGTAGTTTGTATATCTTTGTGGCTTTTTATTTCATTTTCCTTCTAACTTATTTTTATTGTATTTTACAAAAGTATCAGTCTGTGACATATTGGAAATAAGAAATAAAATTGGTTCTTCCATGTAGATGGTTTGAAAAGCACTGAACTCCATCTACGTGGATATATCCACACAGTTGAGCACTATGCCATGGTAAAAAAAAGATGGCTATATTTCTATAGAATGATCTCCAGGATATATTGTTATATATATATATTTTAAAGCTAAAGAAAAATGTGTATAGTATGCTATCATTTATCTAAGAGGGCAGATATGAATATATATACATATTTGCTTATATAAGGCAGAACAGTGGTAAGTTAAAGTAAAAATTTCTAATAGTCACCCATGAAGAAGGGAGAGAATAAAGGGGAATATGAACAGACTTCTTTGAATATACTGTGCTGTGTAAATTTGACTTTGGAACCATGTAAATATTTTACATATTTATAAAACTAGATGTAGTGTTTACAAAGCAACATCTAAAAAGAGATGGTAAAATAAATCAAATTAACCTAAATGTGTAGTTGCTGTTATCACCATAAAGTAGAAACTATGCCAGGTGCAAAATCCCTAAAATTCTTCAATATTGCTATTGCTATTCTGAGACTGTTGTTCATAGAGGGAAGGATGAAGCAAATTAGTAATTACATTGGTTTCATTGATTGCTACTGTGGGCAAAAAGAAATATAGATAGATTTAAGATCAAGGAGATGAAGTTAAAAACCCTGTAGTTTTAACACACACAGTTACTAGCTTAGTCTACCAAAAGGGCTTAGAAACAGTGACCTATCTAGTAGCAATTAATATCCTTAATCAGAGATTGTAGTTACAGACTACCATTTTCTGCTACAAGGAAGCAGGACTCTTTTTTATTTTTTTTTAAAAGATTTTATTTATTTATTTGTCAGAGAGACAGCAGGAGCACAAGCAGGGGGATAGGCAGGCCAAAGGAGAAGCAGGCTCCCCACTGAGTAAGCAGCCCGATGCAGGACTCAATCCCAGGACCCTGGGATCACGACCTGAGCCGAAGGCAGATGCTTAACCGATGAGCCACCCATGCATCCTGGAAGCAGGATTCATGGAGAAAGGGTGATTTTAAGTCTGTAGCAAGAATTGAACAAGATGAACCCACGGGGTGCTGGGTGGCTCAGTTGGTTAAGTGTCCAGCTCTTGATTTGGACTCAGGTCATGATCCCGGGGTCCTGAGATCTAGCTCTGCAAAGGGCTCCATGCTCAGTGGAGTGTCTGCTTGAGATTCTTTCTCTCCCTCTCCTCCTGTCCCTTCCCCCTCCTGCCTTGTGCACTCTCTCTCTCTCTAAAATAAATAAATAAATCTTAACCAAAAAAAAAAAAAAAAAGATGAACCCAGAACAACTTTTCTTGTCAGTAAGCAAAGACGCTATCAAAGACTAACAGGGTAATGTCAAAAGGATTCAGGAGCCAATCTGAATAGTACCCCCAATGGTCAAAGGTGGGCAGTTTGAACACCAATAAGAATAATAACTACAGTGAGCTGAAACGTCAAACATCAAATATATATTTATATATATTTAAATTCTTATGTTTGTAACAATACTTTAAAACAAAAAATACTTTATTATTTACCTTTGAAGGATTATTGACATGCTTCATTATTTGTGAAATGGTAAATGAGGGAAAGAAATAAATATTTTTCTTGATTTTCCTGTATGATTTTACATTTATATATATGCATATGCTCAGAAGGAGGATAAAAACCAGAAGGATATATACCAATACACTAGTGAAAATGGTTGTGTTTTTTTTTTTAATATTTTATTTATTTATTTGAGAGAGAGAGGCATAGAGAGACAGCGTACAAGCAGGGGGAAGAGGCGGAGAGGGAGAAGCAGGTTCCCCTCTGAGCAGGAGCCCAATGCTGGGCTCAATCCTAGGGCCCTGAGATCATGACCTGGGCCGAAGGCAGATGCTTTGAGCCACTCGGGTGCCCCGTGAAAATGGTTGTTATCATTGGTTACTGAAATTACAGGGTTTTTTACTATATTTACTATATTTTGTGGGCTTTGTTTCCTATGGTTCCTATAGTTATCCTGTAATAAAATATAATTAATTATAAAGATATAAAGTTCTAAGTTTTCTATTAGATTACCTGATTACTGTTCTCATATTTTCTTCTTTAGGCCTTCAAACAAGTTGGAAATATGGGAGGATCTGAAGATAATAAGTAAGTCTACCTACTTTGTGTGACAGCACGTCTTTAACATATTTATAAAGGGTAGGGGCGCCTGGGTGGCTCAGTCATTAGGTGTCTGCCTTCAGCTTAGGTCATGATCCCAGGGTCCTGGGATGGAGCCCCACATCGGGCTCCCTGCTCAGCGGGGAGCCTGCTTCTCCCTCTCCCACTCCCCCTGCTTGTGTTCCCTCTCTCACTGTGTCTCTCTCTCTGTCAAATAAATAAGTAAAATCTTTAAGAATATATATATATTTATAAAGGGAAATTTTTATACTCCATTGTATGGATGACTCTTTTTTACCACAAAGTTGTTGTCCACATTAAATAATTCTCATAAAGGAAGTTGATCAATATCTGGTCCTAGAAAGTATTCAGGAAATCTTAGTGGTGATGGTAGTATTACTGTTGTTATTATTATAATATGTAAACCTGTCCTAGACCACATATGCCTACATTAGGTACTGATACCTGCAATATTATGCTTTTTTTTTTTTTGAGGGAGAAAGAGTGCGTGAGGAGATAGGGAGGGGCAGAGTATACAGTCTATACAGAGTAAACACACTAGTCTTAGAACTTTATACTACCAAGTATTCCTACATTTTCCCATCCATTCATGTGATCCTTATCAACTAAATCATGCTTAAGCTTTGCCTATTTAAAAATAAATTAAACCGGGCGCCTGAGTGGCTCAGTTGGTTGAGCGACTGCCTTCGGCTCAGGTCATGATCCTGGAGTCCCTGGATCGAGTCCCGCATCGGGCTCCCTGCTTAGCAGGGAGTCTGCTTCTCCCTCTGACCCTCCTCCCTCTCATGCTCTCTGTCTCTCATTCTCTCTGTCTCAAATAAATAAATAAAATCTTTAAAAAAAATAAATAAATAAATAAATAAATAAATAAATTAAACCTTTATAGTACCATGTATTTCAGCCATCCCTTATATAATACCAAAGACTTCTACATTCCCTTTTCTTCTCTCTGGCTCATTCCTTGAACCCTATAGCCTGGCTTCTACTTCTGTGTCTCCACCCAAACATATCTCACAAGCACCAGCCGTAACTTCTGTGTTACTGAATCCACTGGACATTTTCCTCCTTCTAGACCTCTTGGCAACATTAAACACCTTTGCTTTCTCCTCTGTTTTGAACTTTCTGTCCCAGGCTGCTGTGAAGCCTAGTCTCTGGATATCCCCTATCTGTACTTTCTCCAGCCCTTAAATGGGCTCAGCCTCCTTTACCTGCCATTACAAGCTGGAGTTCTTCCATACTCAGCCCTCCACTCTTAACTCTCAGCTAGCTCCCTGGAGAGCTCAGAGTTCTGAGGCTGTAAATCTCAGTGTTTCCCAGTCCTTTTGTGTTCTCCTTTCTAAGCTAATAATATATAACACTTTACTCAATATATTAGTTATTGCTTTTATTGTTATTGTTTCAATTAAGAGATCATACCTAATTTACATTAAACAAGTTGTAAGGAGAGAGACTATGAATATTTTGAATTGATATATTTTTGTACTTGAAACAGTTACAAATGTATTTTTTAAAGTCATCTTGTAAAAAAAAAAAGTAACCATAGGGATAGTTTGTGATTTTACATATTTGTTTGTTTTAATAAAAGTACCAAATTGTTTTCTTTTCTCTGTGAAGGTTTCACAAGAAGTATCGTAGCAGTATACAGTACTTGTATGCTGGTGGTTCTTTTGCGAGTCCAGTTAAACATAATTGGTGGATATATTTACCTGGATAATGCAGCAGTTGGCAAAAATGGCACTGTAAGTTTCATAGACTTACATAGATATTGCCATTTTTTTCAAGATTTAAATGAATTTAACTGAATATTACTTATCCTGATAATGTCTGTAAAATAAATATCTTTATATTTCATGTGATTGTAAACTTCTAGCATTATTTTTCATATTTTGAAACTAGACTTTTTGTTATGTTAAAGAATACTGTTTTTTCCTATCATTTCAGGTCCTGAAAAATCTCAGCTCAAATTATACTGAAAATATTATTTATATACTAATAATATTATATAATTTAACCTTATTTCTATTTTGTACAGACAGTTCTTGCTCCCCCAGATGTCCAACAGCAATATTTATCAAGTATTCAGCACCTCCTTGGAGATGGTAAGATTCTTATTTGTGACCTGGAAACTAATTTTAATTTGTTCATTTTTTATTATTGAGGAATTCAAAAAGTGAACAAGGCTTTTATGTTTGTTTTTCCTTTAATAGGCCTGACAGAATTGATCACGGTCATTAAACAAGCTGTACAGAAGATTTTAGGAAGGTAAGGCATTTTGCATTGGCTTCTCTGACTTCCTGATTCTGGTGAATAAAAGGAAAATTAGAATTGTTCTAGTGAAGTTGGTGATTTGACTAATGGTGGTTTGTGAAATTCTTTGTAACCTTATACAGACACAGTCCTGAGATACTGCATTGTGAATCCATTTTCTGCATTAGTGCCAACCTTTTGATACTAAGGGAAAAGATGTAATGTTTCATTGTTTATTGATTGACTTCCAAATAAACCAGAAATATTTGGGTCATAACATAAAACACTTACTTTAAAATCTGCCTCTGAGCCTTTATCTTCCATTTATACTCATAGAATCTATAATTACAGTGGGAATTTTCTTGTGAAATCTGCAGCAAGACTTGATGTGGCTCTGTAATAATGACACTTAACTGATGGCTGATTTCTGAATCCACTCTAGTGAGTTCAGTCAGCAGTTTCAGGTTTGACTAGCTCTCAGAGAGTAATTTGTTAAGAGTGTGCTAAGGATGTGTTGTATAGTTTCAATTTATCCCAATTCCCTTTTCTCTGTTTCTAGCATTTCTCTTAAACATTCTTTGTCCCTTTTGGACTTGGAGCAAAAACTAAAAGAAATCAGAAATCTAGTTGAGCAGCATAAATCTTCTTCTTGGATTAATAAAGATGGATCCAAATCTTTATTATGCCATTATATGATGCCAGATGAAGAAACTCCATTAGCAGTCCAGGTGATTAATTCATAACCATTTAACCAAACCAGTTACTCTATATTTTTAAAATTCTTTTACTATCTCTTGAAATTTAGATTTCTGAGGCTCTTGAAAGGTAAGTGATTAAAAGGCCTGTATTCCAATAACTTAAATAAAACTTCATTCATTTAGAAAACAAACAGCAATTATGACTGATTTCTAATTAGAAACATAATTTTAGATATTGAGCTAATTTTTATTGAGTATTAGTTATGTGAAAGACATTGTGATGTATGATTCATACAAAAAATGAATAAGACCTATTCATTATATTTGGGGGAAGTCAGGAGACACATTCAGTTTATGTGACTAAACTATATTTATATGAGATCAAGTAGCAGAAGATAGAGCTGATAGCTGGGGCAAGATCATGAAGAGCTTTATATGCCAAGATAAAGAGCTGAACTTCAGTTTATAGAAAAAGATAAATTTAGCCAGGCCAGTACCACAATTACACATTCTGCTTTTTAAAATAAATCAATGAGGGCAGTATCAAAGTGGACTAAAGGAAATTTTAGTCATCCAGTTGAGAAACAAAGAAGGCCTAATCTAACAGTTACAACTATGGTGTTGCTCCATATTGGTGTGTCGTGGGCAGTTGTGATTTAAATTATTCATTGATAAAATTAAAAGTAGAGCTACCCTATGACCCAGCAATTGCACTCCTGGGTATTTACCCCAAAGACACAGATGTAGTGAAAAGAAGGGCCATATGCACCCCAATGTTCATAACAGCAATTTCTGCAATAGCCAAACTGTGGAAAGAGCTGAGATGCCCTTCAACAGATGAATGGATAAAGAAGATGTGGTCCATATATACAATGGAATATTACTCAGCCATCAGAAAGGATGAATACCCAACTTTTACATCAACATGGATGGGACTGAAGGAGATTATGCTAAGTGAAATAAGTCAAGCAGAGAAAGTTAATTATCATACAGTTTCACTTATTTGTGGAACATAAGGAATAGCATGGAGGACATTAGGAGAAGGAAGGGAAAAATGAAGGGAGGGAAATCGGAGGGAGAGATGAACCATGAGAGACTATGGATTCTGAGAAATGAACAGGGTTTTAGAGGGGAGGGGGGTGGGGGGGATGGGTTAGCCCAGTGATGGGTATTAAGGAGGGCACATATTGCATGGAGCACTGGGTGTTATACGAAAACAATGGATCATGGACCACTACATCAAAAACTAATGATGTGTATGGTGACTAACATAACGTAATAAAATTTAAAATAAATAAATAAAAATAAGAAAAATGGAGCACCTGGCTGGCTCATTCAGCGGAACATGCAGCTCTTGATCTCAGGTCATGAGTTTGAGCCCCGTGTTAGGTGTAGAAATAACTTAAATAAATAAACTTTAAAAAAAAAAAAGGAATAAGAAAAATGTCAAAGATTGTAGGTTATATACCTCATTTTAAAAATTGGTTTTTTCCATATATAAGCAGGTTATACCCATTCTTTACAGTTAAGAAAAGAATATCTCACTTGACAACTGGGGTAGCCTTAAACCAAAGAGGCGCCTAAGCCATACCTTATCCTAGAGGCCCCATTAGAACAAAGACTACCATGGTTTTCATTGCCTGCTGTATTTCCATCCCCAAAGATAGACCTGTTTGGGTGTCCAGAGACCCTGCCTTCATGAGTAGGCCAAAAAAAGGTTGCAGCCATTTAAGGGAACCCCATGACCTGCAGGATGGAGGCTAAACTGAACAAGCAGAATAGATGGAATGGAATTAATGAAAGAAACAGGAGAAAACTTACTTACAAATTCTAATCTCAAGGAGATGCAATAAGAGTATTAAAAAAATTTTCTGGAATGATAAAACAGTTTCCAAATTTTAAAATTCAACAGTGGAACTGAAAAAGAAAATTATTCAAAGAACAAGTGAAGAAAGGAATGACAGACCCAATCTTAACCTGAACTGAATTAAACCCTGAAACTTTAGATGGAAAGGACACACAGAGCGCCAGACTAGACTAGACTTGATGAAAAAAGACATACAATTTTGATAAAATGTCTTACCAATTAAAGAAAAAAAAAAAAATCCCAGGCCTCTGGAACCTCAAAGGACTATCTTTTTCTCTGTAAATATATTCTAGAAAATGTGTTCAAGAGGGGCCAAATAAACAAGGCTCCTAAAAGGTATAATTTTACTTCGACTCATTTTTTTAGTATAGTTGACACACAATGTTACATTAGTTTCATATATACAAAATAGTGATTCTACACACTTACACATTATGCTGTGTTCACCATAGGTATAACTACCATCTGTCCCCATACATCCCTATTATAATATCATTGACTATATTCCTTATGCTGTGCTTTTTTATTCTCATGACTTACTTATTCCATAACTGGAAGCCTTTATCTCCCACTCCCCTTCACCTGTTTTACCCGACCCCTCACCACCCTCCCTCTGCAACCATCAGTTTGTTCTCTGTATTTATAGGTCTCATTCTGCTTTTGTTTTATTCATTTCTTTGTGTTCCACATATGAGTGAAGTCATATGGTATTTTTTTTTTATTTCACTTAGCATAAAACCCTCTATGTCCATCTATGTTGTCTTAAATGGTACAATCTCATCCTTTTTATGGCTGTGTAATATTCCATTGTGTGTCTATATAGAAATATGTATGAGCCAATAATTCTACTGTTGGGTATTTACTCAAAGAAAACAAAAACACTAATCTTATATATGCACTCCTATGTTTATTGCAACATTATTTACAATAACTAAGATTCTGACTCATGTTTTAAATAGTACTTATCTATACATATGAACTTTTACAGTTTTCTTGAGTTTAAAAAAACTCATTTCTTGATTGTTGATAAAACATAGACTTGTAGATTTCCTTAACTCTTGGGGTTTTTTAATATGATTAGTTTCATCATAACTTTGTGCTAATATTTGAAACCCTAAAGTATAGCATTTTAATTTCACAGGCCTGCGGGCTTTCTCCTAGAGATGTTACAACTATTAAACTACTCAATGAAACTAGAGACATGTTGGAAAGGTATGTATACTGCATGTAACAGAAAACATGTGTTTCTATTTTGAATGTACTTATGACTCTTTTTTAGCTTTTCTTAAACAACATATGCAACATAGTATCTTGTTAAAATTACATTTTGAATCTCTTCCCTGTCTTTAGGTAGGATTTCCTACCAAAACTAGTGTTTCTTTTATTAAGGTAATCAGAGAAACAGATTTTTTTCAAGATGCCCATGCTTTCTTCAACCTACTTCCTTAGCCTAGAGATTCTGAAATACTAGTTGAGGGACTGAAAGATAGTTAGCATTTATATTTTGAGAAGAGCTCTCGGGTGATTCTGGTATACCCAGTGTATTAGTAAATATTTAACAACTAGCTCTGTAAAACAAACAAACCAGAAACTGAAAGTATAGCTGCAGCAGTTCTGACTACCAACTTGAAATCACTTGATACTCACTTTAGCAGTCGGGGAGAAATGCACTTTGAAGCCAGAGGTAGCCAGCTCCAGCTAATCCTCATGTATACCTCATGCACATATGTGATGTGTGTACACTCCCCCCAACACACACACATACTCAGTTTGAGATCTACCCCCCCCAATTCTCTCAGGATAGACTATAATGTCCCTAAAACTTTGAGTGATAAAAATTCCACATCTTCCCTAAATTGAGTATTACTGTTTTAAGTCACCCAGAAGACAACCAGGGTGTTAAAAATGGAGAAAGCACCAGCCTATGCATTAGAAGACTGGAAGACCTAGATTCAGGTTGGGCTTTCCTGTTTATTAGCTGTTCAGCATTGGTTGAGCCACTTAAATTCTTTGAGGTAGTTTTATCATTGTAGAATCTGAGTAGTAATACCAGTCTTACCCACTTATCTTAAATGGTTAAAATATCAAAGTTTCTTTTATCCTAAAGATAATTTAGGACCATTTTCTCTAGTTGATTTTCTGAGGAAATTATATCCTCTGCTTATAAGATATTTTCATGATCGTGACAAAAATTAGCAAATTTGAAGGTTAACTCAGCTACTGAATCTACTGTCTGAATTCATCAAGTTCTAGTCTCTTGACTTTCTACAATAGCCACCTCCACATTTTTTCTTACTCAGATTTCCACCAAATTACTCCACAAAATGCTAGAAAAGGTCATCAGTGATCTCTTGCCAAATCCATTCAACCTGTAATGTTCATCTTACTTGGCCTTTCTCTGATAATTAACACTGTTGATCAAGCCTTTCTTAAAATTCTTTTCTCAAGTGGCTTCCATGACAGTGTAATCTAATTTCTCTCCACATTCCCAGGTTATTTCTTCTTAGTTTCCTCTGTGTCCATCTTTCTTATAAACATTAGTTTTCTAAGGTATTTGTTCTTATTTCATCTTCAGCTGTCCCAAACAATTTCATATTCCCCCATTTAACCACTGTCTGTATGCTAATAATTCCCAAATTTATATCCCCTTGCCCAACACTCCCATGAGCTTGAGATTTCTAGATGTCAAAGATCAAACTAATCTGTTCAACTAGGTATTTTCTATCTTTATAGTACATATATATTATTCTTTATATCAAAGAGGTTTGGGGCTCTGGGTGGCTCAGTAAGTTAAGCATCCAACTATTGATCTTGGCTCTTGGCTATCCTTTTTGGATAGCAGATCTTAGGGTTGTAAGTTCAGGCCCCATGTTGGGCTCCACACTGGGCATGGAACCTACTTTAAAAAAAAAAAAAAGGTTTTGTGAGGTACTTACATGGTGTAACAAAAAGAGCTTGAACTTTCAGGTCAAAAAGGCCTGGGTTCAAATTCTAGCTCTCCCATTTACTAATTACATACCTTTGGACAAATTTCTTCATCTCTAAGTATCCAGTTTCTCAACTGTACATGATAATAAAACTTTCTATTTCACTGGGATGTCATGACAGTATGTAAAGCAAACCAGTATCTGTGACTATAAGATGATTCCTCTTCAAGAGTTTCCTAAAGAGGGGCGCCTGGGTGGCTCAGTCAGCTAAGCGTCTGCCTTCGGCTCAGGTGGGGTCCTGATCTCAGGGTCCTGGGATCAAGCCCCGCCTTGGGCTCTCTGCTCAGCGGGGAGCCTGCCTCTCCCTCTCCCTCTTCCTCTGCCTGCCCCTCCCCCTGCTCATGTGCTTGCTGGCTCTCTGTCAAATAAATAAATCAAATCTTTAAAAAAAAGTTTCCTGAAGAGAAGTAATACTGTTATTGATATTTTTGAAAACACATTGTATAAAGTGCTGGATGATATAAGAAAATCTCACAAATTGGATGAAAATTCTCATTGTATTGTGCTAAATAATAAGCTTACTTTTTAATGCTTAATTGTTAAAGATTAACTCCTTGATATATTCTTACAGTGTTTTAGGCTATAAAAAGTAGGTTGTGACTAGAAATGTTGGTGGCTGTCAAAGATAACATAGCTACTGAATTTATTTCCTTTTCCATTGAAAATCTAAAAAGCAATTTATCCTTCTTATTTTGTATAGTCCAGATTTTAGTACAGTTTTGAATACATGTTTAAACCGAGGGTTTAGCAGACTGCTAGACAATATGGCTGAGTTCTTTCGACCTACTGAACAGGACCAACATAGCAACTCCATGAGTAGGTAAGATGACAAAAAATGTTGTGTGTCTAATGAATAATAAAAGAGTGCTTTGGATGTGTTTATTTTTTGTTCCAGGTAATAAAAAAAATCTTAGAGGATAAATTTGATTGATCATTTGTCAACAAATTAAACTCCCTTAAGCCAATGACTCCGTAAAAACTCCTTCTGGATTCAATATTAAAAATTTCATTTCTTCCCCAAATTTTGCCACTATATGGAAATAAGTTGTGAAACTACCTTTCTGTAAGCCAAATTCCAGTTCTTCGGGTTTTTTTTTTTTAGTTCTTTAGAATATAAAACTGAAAATGTATTTAATTACTGTAAGCCATAATTGACCCACATAATTCAATAGTTTGGTCATTAAAATAACCCAGGCATTCTTGTTATAAATTCCTATTTGATGAATTATCTCTTACTTCTACAACTATTCATTTTTAGCTCTTATGGTAGGATTGGGAGTATTTAGTTAGTGCAATTGTTAGTAATTTTAATCACAATTATTTCTAAGTCATACATTCATACTGCTAAAATGTATCATACGGTTTTATTATATCCTTAGCTCAACATGAATATTTTGGGTCTCCTAGTAGAATTTATACTCTTTCAATAAGCTGTTTTGTAGTTTTTTATATTAAACTCAGAAAATAATAAGTACTAAACCAATGTTAACTGACTATAAACTAGTCCATTAAAATGAAGAGAAACAGTAAGTGATATGCAGTATATATGTGCAGTATCCAATTTAATTCTTAAATACATAGGGTAAGAAATTACTCAATTCTCTGGAACCCCTCTTTATTGTATAAAAAAGAATAATTTGCAATTAAAATTGAGGATTTGGAATACTTAGAGCAATAACATTTATTTTCTTAAACAATTTAAATATCACCCTAAAATCTTTTTTAGGATTTCTTTAAGTTATACAAAAATAAATTTCAGCCCCTATATACTCCCTAAATCAAGGTGCTCCAATTAATAAAAGTTCACTATAATTTCTACCTAGCAAGGTGTTAGTTATTTCCTGAGTAGTGATAAAGAATTGTAATAGTTGCTTTAACACAAATACTTGACCTTATACCCTGAAGAATTACAAAAGTTATGTTGTAACCACATCAGCCATTGATGGTCTTCCTTTTTGAACTCCTACAGTACTCCATACTTTACTTTCCCATACAACCTACGTTTTTCACCTAGAACTGGAATCATATTCCTCAGTTATATTTTAAGCCTCCTCTCAAAGTCAGAGACTATCTAATGCCCTTTCATATTTCATTACATACACTAGGTATTCAGTCGGTATTTCCTGTCCTAAGTTTTTTTCTCTTCTGTATCGGTAATCAACTTCATACTCCATGATTCAATACTAGAAATATTTCCATTATGCCTTGTGTTATTCCTTTTATTTAAAATGTAGTGAAAGTTCTAGCCATCACAGTAAGTCAAGAAAAAAGATTCTCAGTTTCGGCAAAGAGACAAAATGATCTAGAACCCTCAAGAGAATCAACTGAAAAGTGATGCTAACTAATACAAGCTCAAATTATATATATGTGTGTGTGTGATATATATGTATATATTCCTGTATATACTATATATATAACATATGCACATAATATATAATATTCAAGAAATTATTGAAAAAGTAAGCAATAAATAAACTCTCCTTATAAAACATATAAGGTGAAATTATTAGAATAATATGTTACTCATAATAGATAAGCCAATGGAATAGGATGTAAAATCCAGAAACAGGCTCTAAAATATACAGGAAATTAGTACATTAGAGGTGAGGAAGAGATGTATTATTTAGTAAATTATAAGACAGAGTAGTCATTTTACAACAACTAATGTAAAATAATAATAAAGTTAGACCCTTCTGTACCACACACATAGCCAAAAAAATCAAGGAGGTTTAAACAATAAAAGCAAATGAACAAATGAATATTTGTCAGAGTTCAAGATGGAGAAAGTAGAGAACTTTACAAAAGAAAGTGATAGGTTTGGCTGTAAAATGTAAAACTTACAGATCAAACAAGCTTTATTAGCTTTATAATTGGTATTAAATGCAATGATATGTTGGGGGAAATGTTTGCAAACTGTATATATTATACAAAGAGGTTAATAGCATTATGGACATATCAGTTAAGGAAGGAAACACTCAAAGAAAGAAATGGTCATAGACACAAACAGATAACTCAGAAAAGAGAAGTAGAAGTGCCAATTTTTCCATTCATCTAGCATCTATTTGTTGTACACCTACTCTGTATCAGGCACTGTACTAAGTCTCTGTCCTCGTGGATCTTACAATAGAAGAGAAATACACAATAAACATAATTGTACAAACTGTGATAAGTGCTAAAAGGAAAAGAACATTGAACATATGATAAAAGTATTTGACAAACATGGAAAGTAAAGTCAAGCAGCTTCCTTGAGGAAATAATTTGAACTGAGAACTAAAAGATGAGCATCTATTAAATATGGCCTTAGACTGGAGTGGGGCAGTTGATATTTAGGGCAGAAGCCACAGGGCAAAGACTTTGAAAAGAGGAGGACCACGGTACACTTGAGGACCTGGAAGAAGCTGGTGTAACAGCTGAACAGCTGGAACTGGGAAGAGGGGGAGTGTGAGATCAAGTTGGAGAACTGAGCACATACAGATTATGGTAGTCAGCTTGAGAGTGCTGGAGAACCACTAGAGAGAAGTGGCAGGAGAGTTACATGATGGGATTTACACTGTAGGATCACTTGGATTGCTCGGTGGAAAAGGAATTGAAACAGAATTGGGGTGGGATATAGCAGTGGATGAACAAAGACTTGTATTAATTGATTCTAAAAGTATATATTGAGCACATACTGTGCACCAGGCCCTTTACTAAGTACTGGGATAATACAGTGAGTAAAATAGACATGGTATCTAACCTCATGGACATTGTATGATAGCAGTGTCTTCAGTTTCTATTGAAGAAAAATTAATGTACAAAGAGAGACATCAAACAAATAAACAGGGGCACCTGGGTGGCTCAGATGGTTAAGCATCTGCCTTCAAGCTCAGGTCATGATCCCAGGGTCCTGGGATCGAGTCCCGCATCGGGCTCCCTGCTCAGCGGGGAGCCTGCTTCTCCCCCTCCCTCTGCTTCTCCCCCTGCTCATGTTCTCTCTCTATATATATACCTCTGTGTCTCGAATGAATAAATTTAAAAAATCTTAAAATAAAATAAACAAAAATTTGACAGATTTTGAAAAATGCTACCATAAAGGACAATAATGTGTAATTTTCTCAGGAATACATAAATCTCTCCACTCCTTTTTCTTTTTATGCATTGCCTCAAATCTCAGCATAGCATACTGGTTAGACAAAATAGCTTCAGCATTTTCATGGTGTTTAAAAGGAAATTTCTAGTGTAGCCTCAGGTATAAATATATGAAGTATTGCATTTAATGTAATAAACCTCAGTCTATAACCCACACACAAAAATTATTTCATCATTGTTTACAAATTGTTTCACATTTAACAGTCATTATATCATCCATAATCACACATTCATTCATTTATTCCCAAAAAAATGATTGTTGAGCAGTTACAAGTTAAAAGGTCACTGCTATAGTCCAGACAAGAGAAACTGCTTAGCCTGGATTAGGTTTGGCAAAGGGGAGAGGTAGACACACTTAGGAAATATTTAGGATTGTGGGGGGATTCGATATAGTCAGGATAGAGAAGTGCCAAGGTAAAAAGCCCAGGTCTCCTCTTATACAGCCAGATAGATGATGGTGTAGTTCACTGGAGTAGGGAGGAGAAACATTCAACATTGCTAGTAATTGAGAGAAACACAGACTAAAGCTGTAAGAAACCATTTGAGTTATCAGACATACCAAGATTTTTTTTAAAGCTAATACTTGATGTAGAAAGAGGCATAATGGAGCAGGTTTTCTCACACACTGCTGGAGAAGCAGAGGACGTCTGTCAGTATGCCTTATAAACCTTAAAAATATTCATACTCTTGGGGCACCTGTGGCTCAGTCAGTTAAATGTTCAACTCTTGATTTGGGCTCAGGTCATGATCTCAGGGTCCTGAGACCAAGCCCCACCTCAGGCTCTGCCCTCAGTGGGAGTCTGCTTGGACTCTCACTCTATATCCTCCCCCAATTTGTGCTCTCTCCCTCCCCCCCCTCGTAAATAAATAAATAAATAAATAAATAAATAAATAAATAAATAAATAATAAAATTAAAAATCATAGCCTTTGACCCAGTAATTCTGTGTTAATACAAAGAACTGTTTAAAGAAAATTAGGCAAAAACTTAAATGCCCAACTCCAAGGAGCTAGATCTAAATTGTCACAGCTGGAGGATGAATTATCTATATAATCATTAAAAACTAGATTAAAACTTTAGAAGAGGGCGCCTGGGTGGCTCAGATGGTTAAGCGTCTGCCTTCGGCTAAGGTCATGATCTGAGGGTCCTGGGATCGAGTCCCGCATCGGGCTTCCTGCTCCTTGGGAGCCTGCTTCTCCCTCTGCCTCTCTCTCTCTGTCTCTGTCTCTCATGAATAAATAAATAAAATCTTTAAAAAAAAAAAAAAAAACTTTAGAAGAACTTCTAATAAGATGGAAAAATGTTCATGATAATAAAAATACAAAACAATATTGCCAGAGAGGTTATATAGTCTTGTGTTTAAAAAACACAAAAAAGCATAGATACATATAAAAATTACTGGAAGAAATTAACCATGATGTCAGTTACAGTTGTTATTTCTAGGGGGTAGAATTATGTATGATTTTTATTTTCTTCTTAGGATGTTTCTGTGAGTGTTCTTCAGTGACTGTATTGTACTATAATTAACATGTTAAGTTCCCATAAGGTAATTTCAGACAATAATTATTACTATGATGATTTTTCAGTCTTTCCAGTGTCAGCCTGCCATTAGCTAAGATAATTCCAATAGTAAATGGACAGATCCATTCAGTTTGCAGTGAAACACCTAGTCATTTTGTTCAGGTAAGAAGAAAGTTTGGGGGTATTATTTAAAACATTGTATCTTTGGTTGTGGTTATATTTATCTGAAATAAAATTACATTTCTTTCCTGTGATATTTGTTCAAAGAAACCAAAAACTTAAAATCACATGTAGAGTGTGGTAGAATGCCCCATGAAAGCAACACTGTATCATGGCAAATTTATGAGGTTGGGAATACCTTTCTCCGGGTTACAGTCCAACACCAATTAGCCTGCATTTTTAGTCCACATACATTCTCATGGTCAGTTGAACTTACTGTGTTAATATTTTGCATTAAACTATCGGTAATAAGATTGAGCTGTGAGATTAGTGATCCAGTTCCACAAATTTTGAGGAAAACTAAAAAAATTTTGTGGAGAAGTAAAGCATTTTAGATTTAATAAATATGACTATTAATAGTGCACCAATAATCTCCTGAAAAGCTGCATAAGACATTACTACCTATAACTCATCCTTTCTTAGAAAAGCATTTTGGAATGCATTAAGACTGATATTATTGAAATAGTAACTTTGAATCCACATAGTTTTTTTTTCTGAGTCACTTGCAAATTGGATTAGAAAACTTGGTTTAGAAGGCTAAAACTTGTATTAGAAATAAAAACTTGGTTTGCGGGGTACCTGGGTGGCTCAGTCAGTTAGGCCTCCAACTCATGATCTCAGTTCAGGTCTTGATCTCAGGGTCATGGGTTCAAGCCCCATGTTGGGCTCCACACTGGGCGTGGAACAACTTAAAAGAAAAAAAAAAAAAAGTAAAAACTTGTTTGCAATACACCTCAATTCCAAACTACTGCAGTAATGGACAGTGAGAAGACTCTAAAGCCTAAGCGTCAGGATGGCATATTCTCAGTACCATGTGTCTCAGACAAGTTAGATTATCGTCCTTGTACTTTCTACTTGGGAACGTGAAAAGCACTGAGACTACAGACTGCTACTTCTTTCTGTGTATAGTGTCATCAGTTTGTCCTTTACATGTCCTTTACATGCTTATTTTCCCTTACTGTTCTCTTCTGTCTTCTGTGTCATCTTTCTCACCCGTGACAGTTAGACATTCATATTGCAGAAGGAAGAGTGAATAAGACTGATCTCATTTTACTTAAAGTTCAATTTAAGCTTAAATTTTTAATTAAAAACTTGGTTTAAATTTTTAATTTAATATTAATTTTCACATGTATATCAGTGAGAGAAAAAAGGTTGTAACTTCTGGCATTTAAACCTTAACTTTACCTTTCTCCACTTTCGTAAAAGTCTCTGGCTTCATCAGTAGGCTGTTCATCTTGGCAATAAGTGGGAAATACAACCAAGCATAATATACATGTACTACATTAATTAAAATCTGAATAATTGATAACAAAAACAAAAGATTTCAATCCAATAAAAACACCAATTGTTAAAGTTTTTGAGTATGACTGAATGTAGATTAAACTGATATACTACACTATTGATTGACAAGACTCCCACCAGTTCTTTTAACCATAATTTCTATGAGTTAAAATGCCACATTGCCTTCAGAGAATTTAATCATTAATTTATTGAGATCAAGACTTGTCTATAGCTCACTTGGGTTTTCTGATACTTAAAAGAGAACACAAAGGACAGTTTCACTTACTGTTTCTCTCATGCTCACAGGGGCACTCAAATGCTTCTGTGTCATGGATCTTTTCACAATCTGGTGAAGCCCGTGGACCCCTTCCCAGAATAATGTCTATAAATGCATATTACAAAGTACATAGGTTTTAAAGAAAACCAATTGCATACAGTTTTCAAAATGCTTTTTAAAATCAAAGTTACGAAGAAGCAGCATTGCTTTTTTGCTCATGCATTAAATAACAAGCTATCACAGCAGTTCATGCAGCTTCCACAACTATCATACATGAAAATGTCTGATTTCTAGTGAAGACAAAGTCATAGCCATGCTAGTACTACACAGTTGGTTGGCAATTTCCTAATTGAAAGAAATACTAGATTTTAGTTAAAGGTTAATGAAAATAAAATTTTTTTCTTATTTTTACATTTACAAATCTCTGAAGAACGCTTGTTCTAAAGTGTCTATGTGCGGTTTACGTATGTGTATGCAATAATATATGACATGCTACATGTATTCTGTGTTAGCTCTTCTAAAAAAGTAATTTACCTCACAACCACGTTACGTCAGCTTCTAACGAAAGTACCTTTAGATTTGTATCTTTAGTACTGTAATCATTTATTCAACAGATAATGTATCTAGTCCTTGGCACACATAAAAGTCCATTTGAAGACTGTTTTGGGTCTTCTTCTCAAAGTCACACTTGAATACTTACCATACTCACCAGCCTTCACATAAGAACCGAAACAATAAATATCTCCCAGAATTTATTATAAGAAAAAATATTCCTTTCATTAAATGATTTTCTTTTTGACCTTAATGCCATAAAACTTAGAGCTAAATTCATTGCTCAAATTGCAGATATGGATTCATATTATCTATACTTCTTACAAATTGTAATGTTTTACTGTCATCTTTGCTAGGATCTGTTGATGATGGAGCAAGTGAAAGACTTTGCTGCTAATGTGTATGAAGCTTTTAGTACTCCTCAACAACTGGAGAAGTGATATCTTTTCCTTCAAGAAAAACTACAATGGAATTCATTTACTTTTAAAAATATGCTGAATAAACCAACTATATATAGGGTAATGATTTGTTACCAAAATGCCTAATAAAAATATATTCTTAATCAAAGTCTTCATTTCATAATAAAATAGATTTATTTGGCATCTTAATATATTTTTTTAAAGTCACCAACAGACTAGTTTTTGTGGGCATATCTGAGTGTACACCGTGCAAATATTTGTTACACCGTGGATACTAGTTCCAAATGGACTATAAAGCTAGTGTAGATACTTTTTTCAATATTATATAAAATATAATATACATTGACATTAATACTGAGAAAAAATCTGAGAAATAAGTGTGAAGTTTAGAAAAAATGTACTACTTAACTAATCATAAAGTTCACTGGACTGCAGAATAGATGAGGAAATCAGGCTTTTCTCCAGTTACTCTTCAAAGGTATAAATTATTTATCTTAAATAAACCTGATGAAGGACTTTAATTTTATGGAAATCAGTGAATTTAACCACCATGATCAGTAATTTTTTTCTTTACTATTGTTAACAATCCTTAGAAAATTAGGTATTGATTTAGAGGTTAAAATTGTGCTGATGCTGTTTACTCAACAGCTATTATTAGCTACATAGTTTCATTCCTTTTTATGTAAATAATTTTAATAACTTTGTATTGATTTTGAGACAGTAAATATCTTATTGCAATAAAATATTTTAGTAAAATACGGTTTTGTTGAGTTGATACCATTAATTTTATTTGTCCCATAGCATTTTTTGCTGTTATTTTGGGAGAATATGCTAGTTTTCAAGTTTTATTTTAACTGGTAATATAATTGATGCTTTCTTTTAGCTTTTTTGTTTAGAAAAAATAAGTAGCGTTTCCTTCTGAAAAGAAATAATTCATTGTGTCTAGTTAAATCTATATTCTGTATTTATAAGGGTAATTAGGGCAGAAATAAATGAATCATCAGTATATTAGATACATTTTCAGTAATATAAGAATATTTTCAGTGACATTGCTTTATGTTCCTCCAACATAACATATAGCTAAGTAGTAGAAGGTACAAAATGAATTGTGAAGTCTCTTCTAAGGCAAGGCAAGGCCCAAAGTCAACCGCTAGGGAGTCTATGTCTACAGTGTTTAAAAAAAGAAAAGAAAAATCAGATGTAAAAGTGGTGAGGAGAGCAAATGCTTCTCATCAAAATTTGTCAGAATATAGTGATATTATTTTCTAATAGGGTGACGGAAAAACTGCATTTTGGAAAATTAGTGAATGTGTATGTAATAGGGCATGCATCTCTTCCAGCAGTATTAACCCAGGATTTCATCCAAGGAATATTTGAGACTGAACAGGTGTGGCCTTATAAATGGATCAAAATCTGGTCAGCTGAAAATTTTCACCTGGAGTCCTCTACATCTGTGGAGTTGTGGCAGTTGAAGAGATGACAAGGTAAAAACCACGTGTATTTGAAGCTAATTGACATTACAGATTTGTCTTCCAACTAGTACAGTAAGAGCCCCCCTGTCTGGGACCCTTAGTTGTTTCGTTCATCCAAAAGGTCACTTGAAACAGGGTATCACACAAAAAATTTATTCTTAGGGGCACCTGGGTGGCTCAGTTGGTTAAGCGTCTGCCTTTGCCTCAGGTCATGATCCCAGGGTTCTGGAATCGAGCCCTATGTCAGGCTCCCTGTTCAGTGGAGAGTCTGCTTCTCCCTCTGCCCCCTCCCTGCTCATGTGCGCCTGCGCTCTCTCTCTCTCTCCCTCTTGCTCTCAAATAAAATCTTTAAAAAAACTTTATTCTTACATATTTTAACTTTAAATATTCTTTGTCAATTATTTAATGTAGGGCCCAGGTCTTTTCTATCTTTTTAGTATAGGTCTGCTTATAGGCGTCCTCTAATTATCTTTCTTGTATAAATCATATGGATTGCATTACATTATATAGTTGTGAACCAGGGATACAGAATTTTTGTAGATTTTTGCTATATTTTCCTCCAATCTTTTATAACTGTTTCACCCACAATTAATTTACCAATGCCTTTAAATTAAAAAAAAAAAAGCAGCACACTTTTTTTTTAAGATTTTATTTTTAAGTAATCTCTACCCAACGTGGGGCTCAAACTCACAACCCCAAGATCAAGAGTCGCATGTTCCTTTGACAGCCAGCCAAGCTCCCCTAAAAAAAACAACACACTTTTATCTAGTCTTTCCAAAGTTCAGCTTGGTTTTTGCAGAGACTACAACTCTTCAAACTCATGTTATGACAGTTTGTATAATCACGATAAAAAGTTCAACTGGCATAATTAGTTTGTTTGATAACTGTTTTAATTTCCTAGAGCCACTGTAATAAATTATAACTAATTGAGTGACCTAATACAACAGAAATTTATCCTCTCACCATTCTGGTACTTGGAAGTCCAAAATCAAGGTGTCAGCAGGACCATGCTCCCTTTTGCTCCCACCTTGCTTCCTTAGGGAAGACCATTCAGTCCTTTCTTGGCTCTCCCAGCTTCTGGTGGCCCAAGTGTCCCTTGTCTTATAGCAGCAAACTCCAGTCTCTGTCTCAGTCTTCACATGGCCTTCTCTGTGTGTCTGTTCTTTCTCTCTTACAAGGATGCTCTCATTTAGGACCCGCCTACGTACAGTATGATCTTATCTCAACACTTACTTTATTTACATTTGCAAAGACACCATTTCCAAGTAAGATCACGTTCTTGGCTTCCAGGTGAACATGAATTGTTGGGAAATACTATTCAACCCACTATAGTCACAAACTCAACTCAGCTTGGTAGACATATGTTGCAACAAGTAGAAATCAAAGTAAAGGGTGTTCCAGACAGAAAGAAGTCTATTAACTGAAAGCATGTAGCTTGCCCTAGGAACCAATCATCTGTATGCTTTTCCAAGGAGATGGAGAGCATCAGTTAACCCAGTAAATTGGCGGAATGGAGATTACTTAAAACTGCTTCTACTTTTTCTCCTTCAAACTTGTATAAATGTGTTTGTTACTATGTATATATAAAAATTTGATAAGACCATTTATTTTATTTGCTTGGAAGGTAGGAAGATTTTATCTAACCAGGTCTTTCACTTATAAAACTGAAATGAACAGAAGGCAAAATGTCTGTCTTATCTTCTGTTGTCTTGATTCATATTTAGTTGAATAGCCTGATCTTTTAGAGTAATTGTGTTGCTTGAATATGACACTCATAAGAAAATGAGATAGAATCTTATTAAAGTGGTATCCATATTTAAAATATCAATGTCTACATTATTCAGTCTAATAATCTAGTTGGCTTTGCCTTCAATATTTCTCTAGTCATTAAAGGAAAATCAGAAGGTACTGAAATTCAAATCAGGCCATTTTGTACCTATTTAAGAACTCTGGGAAAAAGATTATTTGAGGAGGATAAAAACTATTGGCTTAGGTAATGAGAGGTCTGATTTTTAATTATCCTTACTATAATTCTTGCCTTCATATCACAGGTATTTTTTTATATAGTTGGGTTAAATGCTGAACTGTATTTTGTCATTTAGCTCCCTCATAGCTACTAAATAAACTTCCTATTTTTGTTTTTGCTTAGTATAGTGTTTGGGATCATATAAATCAATCCAAGTTGGATCTCTAATAAAATATTAATTGGGATTTAGAACTATTAACATATTTATGTATGTAAATACCCTGGCATGGTTTCAAAAACTGGTGATTTTAGGAACTTCAACAATGAGTAATTTTTTTAAAAGTTTTCAATGTTAGCATGATTTTAGGAAATAAATATGTACTTTGATTTCATTCTCTATTTGAAGCATTTTTTGGAAACAGTGACATGTCTGCATTTGATTAATGTAATAAAATGGAACCTGCAGTACTTCAAATAAATATCTGGCCAATTAAACATCTTTTGATGAGGAGAGCAAGTTCTCTAATCAGTGTTTATTTAAATTTACATCAAATCAGTATTATTTTTACTTCATTATTTTGCTTCATTCTTAGGGAAGATTTGAGTAGAATTCATAATTTTCAGCTAGGTTTTCAAATTCAATTTGCTTGAAGGCAAATACAGGAAACATATTTATTAATTTTTTTTTAAAAGATTTATTTATTTATTTGAGAGAGCGAGAATGAGAGAGAGTACATGAGAGGGGGGAGGGTCAGAGGGAGAAGCAGACTCCCCGCCGAGCAGGGAGCCTGATGTGGGACTTGATCCCGGGACTCCAGGATCATGACCTGAGCCAAAGGCAGCCGCTTAACCAACTGAGCCACCCAGGCGCCCATATTTATTAATTTAAGTTGGAGCCCAAATTAGCTCACCTACAAAAATTGGCCTATACCTCCAATCCCATACCCCCTCCACCCCACCTCAAAAACCCTGAAAGAATATGTACTAAAATATTAATAGTGGTGATCTAAACAGTGGCTTTAGCATTTCCAAAATGCTTTGAGCATTTTTGTATGTTTTAAAATACCTACAGTAAACATGTATCAGTTTTATTACCAAGAGGGAAAAAAATAATTTTTTTTTTATAAAAAGACAATTACTGTGTGCATTGGAAATATGTATTAGGCCAAATTTATTATACACCTATCATCTATATTAGTCTGCTAGGGCTGCCATAACAAAATACCAGAGACCGTGTGGCTTAAACCACAGTAATTTATTTTCTCACAATTCCAAAGGCTGAGAGCCCAATGCTTGGCAGTTTGGGTTTGTCTTAAGGCCCCTCTCCTTGGCTTGCAGATGGTGCTTCCTCCCTGTGTCCTCACATGACCTTTCCTCTGTGTGCTGCATCCACAGTGTCTCTTTTCTTACAAGGACACCAGTCATACTGGATTAGGTTCTCACTTTTATGACTTTATTTAACCTTAGTTACCTCTTCAAAGGCTCTGTCTTCAAATACAGGCACAGTGGGGGTTAGGGCTTCAACATATGAATTTGAGACACAATTCAGGAGACACAATTCAGTCAGTCCTTACCACCACCAATTCCTAGCTACTGTAAAACAAAAATTTCCACCTTTTAATCACACATGGAAATAAATTCGATATGAAAAGACTCTGATGGCAAAGTATACTGGAGAGTTAAAACAGTTACATGGGTGATTTAGGAAAAATATTAAGGAGTAAGTGGGGAAAGGGCTGAATTGCCTAAATAATTACTTGACTTTCCTTGACCAGTTTTACAATTGCTTTCTCTATGTGCTACAATTACAGAAACGTGATATTTTCTAGTCTTCAATGTACCTGCAGCATGAACCTCTCTGCTGCAAATCAGATCACATTAGTTAATTCTAGAGCCCAGCCCCATTTACAGGGCATCTGATGAAAGGTTAGATGTGGCAGTTCTACCAGTAAGCCATTTGGCTTCAAAGAAGTCCAGTTTAGTGGCTGTCCATGTCCCAGCAGTTTAATCTGAAATTAAAAACACACACAAATATCTCCAAATGTATCTCTTTGACTCACCCACTTTATTGGAAAAGAGTGGCTGGTATTTCTTTAAAACACTACAGACAGGAGACTCATCTTTTGGTTTTATTTAGTGGTTCACACATTGTTTTAACCCTTGATCCAAATGAGTGCATACATGTGTCTTGCTTATGTATTCCTCTCATATAAAAGTGTGCAAGAGTTGGAAAAGAATTGTAAAGGTTGAACAGTATCAGAGTAGGGAAAACACTGAAGAGAGGATTGGGGAAAAGGACTCTGGAACCAATCTGCCCAACATAAGACCTGCATAGTTGTGCACAGAATGTTTGGAAAAAGGCCCCTCTCCTTTATCTAGCAACACTTCCTCCCGGATTTTCCAGTAACTAATTAACAATACATAAGTCTGATCAATTATTACTGTAATTGTTTTATATCCTTAATCTTATACTAAGTGGATCTAGATAGAAGTAATTTCCTACATAACTGTGGTTATTTTGAACAAGAAAACTTTGCCTACCATGTAGAGCAACACAAAAACAAAACCCATGAACCTAACAGTATTAATGGAAGCCAAACAGAATACAGATAAAATAAAAAGATGATGTCATACCCAGGCCCCTAAGCTGTAATTAAACATCAAATTTGAACTCCATCTTTCTCTCTGCCCGATCAACCACAGTGTTAGAAATGAAATATGGAAAATGATGCAAGGAGAAGCATATGGACAATTTACATCCAAGGAAATTGTCAGTTTCTTAAAAATAAGCTATAAAATATATCAAAATGAACTCAATGCCAGATGTGTTGGTTACAACTATTAGATTAACTTTCTCCAGATTTTTTTAATGACCTTAAAATAGTATGGCCACACATCTTACTTTTATTCAGATTTGTTCTGGGATGGGAGAGACTCTGAATCCATTTTATGTATGTCTGTATGTGTATGTATTTATGAATTCCAGAATTCGTTTTGGATGCTTGCAGAACTTGAACAACCTAAAATAACTGTCAGAAAGAATATCTATTTTACATTGATATGCATGGAGACAACATAGCTGTTTTATAAGTTTAGTTTTCTGGGAAATGAAAGAAAACTTTCAAAGCTTTGGCCAAACGTTGCCATTGATGAAGTTCGTTTTTAAAATTACAGGTATCCCTCACTTTCTGAAAGTTTGTGTTATGCCACTTCACTTTTATGAAAGACCTACAGTAGTTAGTACCTGTTTTCGTAACTGAAAGAAATCTAAAGAGGATTTTCACTTTTACAAAAAAAAGCAAAAAGTGAAAGTAGCATTCAGTGTTTGTTTTGCAGAGAGGCAGTGCACACCCCAAGCAGCAGCCAGAGTGGCAACAAGTTCCTTCCCACGCTCAGCATCTCAGCATCAAGCTGCCAGAGCTTTGAGCTGTGTCTGTGAGCATCTGTGCTTTATCACAATTCATTTTGTGCATCCATTAGCAAGATATGCTCTAAGGTATTAGAAGAGCCTAAGAGAGGTTGCTTTTGGGGTCTGGGACTATTCAAAAAAAAAACTTCCACATAAATTAATGGTAATTGCATCTTTGCTTTATACCATTTCAGTTTATGAAAGGTTTCATAAGAATGCTCTGCTGTACTCTTATAAGATATAAAAGGAACATAAATAAAGATAATTAATAAAGATAAAATCCCCTTACCTTTGTTACTCCCAGAGTAGCTATGGGTTGGCTAAGCAACAGACGTCTTGATGTGGGCCATTCAAGAAATATGGCATAGACCAATTTTTGTTTACGTTTGGATGTGTACCTGGTTAAAGGGGGAAAAAGTATAGTAATACTATAGGTCAGGTTTGGAATTATTTTACAGAGATACTTCCATGTAGTAAATATTTACCAATGTCTTCATGAATAGAGGGAAGGAAAAATAACTCCATGGTAGAGTAAAAAGGACTCAAAAGGGGTTCCCAATTCCAGTGTGTGTGTTGGGGCCTGGAGGGGAGGTTCCCTATCGCACCAAGCAATTCTCAGACACCAGCTGGGTCTCCTACAATTCAACTCAATTCTGACACTATCTACCTGGGGATAGTGTCAGATTTCCACAGGCAAGGATTTGGTCCTACAAGACTGCTTGCCTACACCACTCTCAACTTCAGACACCAATCACAAGTCCCAGTTATCACCTGGTCTTCTAACCCACAAGCTATAGAAAGGAGGTTACAACGACGTCCTCCTTGGTTTTGATTAATTTTCTACAGCAGCTCACAGAACTCACAGAAACATTTTACTTACTAGATTACCAGTCTGTTACAACAGGATAAAACTCAGAAACAGCCAGAGAGAAGGTATGGGGAAAGGGCTTGGAGCTTCCGTGAACTCTCCAGGCACACACTCTCCCAACAATCCTGAACCTCTCCAAACCCCGTCCTTTTGGGTTTTTATGGAGGCTTCATTACAGGGGTATGACTGATTAAATCAATGGCCATTGGTGGCTGATTCAACCTCCAGCCTCTCTCCTCAATCTAGGACTGAAAGTTCCAACCCTGTAATCACAAGGTTGGATCTCCAGGCAACCAGCCTCACCCTTTGGTGAAGTGGAAAAGTCACCTCAGTAACAAAACAAGAGACATCTTTATAGTTCTCATTACTTAGGAAATTCCAAGAGCTTTAGGAGCTCTGTGCCAGAAATGGAGACAAGACCAAATATATACTTGTTATAAATCATAATATCCTAGTACCTCCCTCCCCCCACTTCCCTTTACTAAAAGGAACAGACACTTTTCTAATATTACTCTTCATCAGACAGTTCTCATGGAGCTGGAAGTAGGCAGGGGAATATAAGCAAAGAAGGTAAGATGTGAGAGTAAATGGCTTTCCACCTGCTGGTTCAAATCTTCATATTCCCTCCTCAGCAGATATGTATGTGTCAATGCTGGGCCAAGTACTGAGGCTTGTGTTAGGAATACAGTAGAAAACAAAAACACACTTAGTTCTTGTTCTTAGGGAACTTAGACTAGAGTGAGGAAGACAGACGTTCAGTAATCACACAAATAATGTCAAAGTGTGGGTTTTAACAAGCACAATGAAAGAAAAGGAAATTGAAAGATTTTAACAGAGGGATCTCTTTAAATGAGACCATCAGCAAGAAGTCTCTCCAAGAAAACAACATTTAATCTAAGACTTAAAGGATGAATGAGAAAAAAGGAGAAAATGTAAGAAGTGTTAAGCTCTAGACAAAGGAAACAGTACTCACTCATTCTTTTACTTAATTTTTCAACAACTATTTATTGAAATCTTAAAATGCTAATCACTGTTTTAGAGCTGGAGACATGGTATTGAACATAGTCCCTGTCTTCATGGAACTCACATGGTAGTGGGAAAAATTAGAATGAGCAGGTGGTGATTAAGTGCTATGGGGAAAACTGAAGCCACATGAGGACAGAGCATGCTAGGTTGGAAACGAGAAGTGTAGGTGTTATTTTAAATCTAAAACTCAAGCAAGACCTCTTTGAGGAGGTGGCATTGAGGAGACCTGAAGAATGTGAGGGAGAGCCATGTGAGTATCTGGAGGAAGAGAGGACAGCAAGCACAGAAGTCCCCATGCAAGAGTATGCTTGGCTGGTTGACAAGGCAGCAAAGAGGGCAGAATGAGAATGAGGGATAGCAGGGTGGCAGACAAGATCAGACAGCAAGGAGTCAGGTTTTTGGGTTTTGTTTTTTGTTTTTTGCTTTAAGATTTTATTTGAGAGAGAGAGAGCATGAGCAGAGGAAGGGCAGAGGGAGAGGGAGAAGCAGACTCCCCACTGAGCAGGGAGCCCAACGTGGGGCTCAATTCCAAGACCCTGAAATCATGACATGAGCCAAAGGCAGACGTTTAACCAACTGAGCCACCCAGGCACCTCAAGGAACCAGTTTTTATAGGACCTTGTAATCCTCTATTAGACCTGGCTCATTCTCTAAGACTGGAAACCATTGGAGGAATTTGAGCATAGAAGTGACATAACCTGGCTTTATTATTTAAAAAGGTTTTATAGCAGAAAGATTAAGTGGGCAAGGATGGAAACAGATCACTCGAGAAGCTACTGAAATAATCCAGGGGAGAGATAACAGGGAGTAAAATGATGAGAGTTGCCACAAGAGAGGATGAGAAGTGGTCGGATTCTAGATATACCTCAAAGACAAAGACGATGATATTTGTTGATGGACTGGCTGTGAAATGTAAAAGGAGAGTTAAGGACTCCAAGATTTTGGGGCTCACGACCACCTAAAAGGATGAAGCTGCCATTAACTGAAATTGGGAAGACTCTATGGAGCTGGTTTAGAGCAAAATTTAAAAATTAGGACCTCAGTTTTGGACAATACCAGGTTTAAGGTGCTTATACTTCCACGAGGAGTGGTTGACTAGAAAGTTGAATATATGAGTCTGGAGTTCAAGAAAAGAGGTCAGCACTGTAGAGGTCATCAGTATGGCATTTAAATCTGTGAAAATGGATGTGATCACCTGGGGAATAAAAATAAATAGGAAGAATGGAAGTCCAAGGACTAAGCCTCAGGGCACTTCAAAGTTTAGTGCCTGGGAACTGGAGGTGCAACCAGCAAAAGACACTTAAGAAGGAGCAGCCAACAAGAAGAGATGGCAATCGGGGTGCCTGGGTGGCTCAGTCAGTTGTCTGCCTTCTGCTCAGGTCATGATCTGAGCCTCTCCCTCTGCTATTCCCCCTGCTTGTACTCTCTCTCTCTCTCTCTCTCTCAAATAAATAAAATCCTTAAAAAGGAAGAAGAAAGAAGAGGAGGAGGAGGAGGAGGAGGGGGAGGAGGGGGGAGGGGGAGGAGGAGGAGAAGAAAGGGCAATCAACAGACTCAGATGCTGCCATAAACTCAGAAAATAGGGACCATGAAATGACCCTGGATTGGCAAAGGACAGGTTAAAGGGCCTTGGTAACAATGATTTTATGAAGTCTGGGGTTGGAAACCTGACCAGAGTGGGTGCAAGAGAAAACTGGAGAAAGAAATTGGAATTAACAAGAGAAGGAAGGAAAAAGACAGAAAGAAAAGAAAGAGAAAGAGAAAGAAAAAGAAAAGGAGGGAGGGAGAGAGAGAGGGAGGGAGAGAGAAAGATTTAACATGTTTTACTATAAAAGGAGAGAAATGGAGAGGTGCCTGGAAATCTAAGGGTTAAAAGAGGTTTTTTTTAAGATGTAAGAAATAATACATTTGTGTGCTGATAGGAAAGAATCTAATAGGGGAAATTGAAGATGAGGAGCAAAAGGAGAGAACTTCTAGAATAATATCCTTGAGTGGCTAATTTTTTTTGCAGCTTCACACAGGAAATATGTGTGAGTGTGTGTGTGTCTATATCTGTGTATTTCAGTCACATGTAGCTACCCATGGGCAGGCATGGAATAAGTACAGCTAAATTTAACCAAAGTTGAGGTTTTAATCAAAGTCAAGTGAGTACAACAGAGAGAAAAAGAGTATGCAATGGAGTGATGAGCCACAGAATCTGACCGGAATAAGGAAGAGGGCTGAGGGACAGAGAAAAAGTGACAGAGTCACAGATGGTATCCTTAGTGGATTATAGATCCCTCCAGAAGCCCAAGTGTTGTGTGGAGTGAGCTGAAATATAAAAGGTGGTAGGACACAGGAGAATGCTTCAAACTGAGATCATGGAAGAGATGCAATTATTGGTAATGCAGGACCTAATAAGGCATGACCCAAAAAGGGGGTAGCAAAGGTACAGTGGACAAGAACCCTAGAACAGAGAGTCCAGAAACTGAGGGGCCAGCAAATTAAAAGAAATGTGAATATAGATAATTCAAATCAGTAAGAACTGATGTTAAGAGTAGATCTGGGGACAGTGACAGTGAGCCAGGGCTGAAATCTTGAAGAACTGTAAGGGAGTCTACAAATGACTGTAGCAAGGTGGGGCAGCATGCATGGTATAGGAAAGAGCTTCTACTGGGGGGCGGGGAGGGCGGGCCACGTGGGGTTGATGAAGTTGTAGGAGCCAGACAAGGAGCTTCACAGGCCTTGTTAAATATTTTGGCTTTTATTTTTATTTATTGAAATAAAAGTTAATGGAATAATGGTTAATACTTGTGAAATCGTGATCAGACCCCCTTGTAGTCAAATATATGCCCAGACACAAATTCCAAAACCAGATTTAAACTAGTCTCTGTAAAATGAAGGATTGGTACTGAGTTCTCACTATGGCTTCTTCCAGACATTCTAAAATTCTACAATTAGTTGCTTCTGTCTACATTGTTTTACTTTATTTTCTTCAGTGAGCTGACAATTAGTTTTAAGTCATAAGTCAAATAGGATCAAAGAAGAACATTTAGTCTAATCTTTGGCTTATACTTGATCAGGCTATATTCACCTGGTGACAACAAAAGGTGAATTTTTAGAGCTTCACTGATACTACTCTTACTTATATATTTTAAGACCCCACATCAGAAACCATCAAATTTGCAAAGTGTAGTTCAGATACTCATTGGCACACGGAAGTTCAGACATAAGCCTGAAGCAAGGCTTTTAAAGAAGATTCTAGTTAAAAGAAAAATTAGCAAGTTAAAATAATTTTAAAGAAACTGTAGGTTTAGATTTATTAGAATAACATGAACAAATTATAAGTTTTTTCTCAATTAAAATAATGCTGTTATTTGGGCTGATTTTCAGTATTTTTTTCTGCCCTTTGACACCTCTTTCTTGCTAATTTCATAAGATGGAGCAGCTGCAAAAATTACAATTAAATGACTAAACAGAAGTATTCCTTTTGGATTAACCCCTCAACATCTTTCATTTTTCTGAATGGCCAGTAGAGCGATTTTTCACTAAAATTTGCCCACTATTAGGAAGTTTCTACAGATGATTTAAGCTCGATTTGATAAACAGTAAGTGTTCAAAAACATGCTGACTTCTTCTAAAGTTTGGAGAGTGCTTTGTCTAAATAGGCATGCATCCAATTTCCTTTTTTATCCTACTTTTCTCTTTATACCGCTGAGAAATTTTAGATGCCTTCCTCCATCAAATAGTACTTGGTAACAAGAAGAACTTACCACACATTTGGGGTAACATCATCACTCTGGGATCTCCAAGGGTGGGTTTCGTAAATGGCTTCTCCATTGACTTTTAGCCAGGTCCCCATTTGCCTCAATCGCTCCTCAAAAATTGCAGAAATGGTGCCATCATGTGTGGGCCCAATATTCATCAAAAGATTTCCTCCACATGAAACTGTTTCTACAAGTTGCTAAAAAGTTAAGAATAAATAATCTTAGGTAGATGAGACAATTCCATTGTGAATGTGTTAACAATATGTTATTATTTGTGTGCTTACACCTGCATGTAATCACCATCCAGAAGAACACAGAAAATAGAATAATAATAAAATACAGGCCATTGAGCTATACAAACTATAAAAAAATAATTCTCACACACCCACACAATTAAGAATATTACCTTAATAGTCACCAGACATTTTACTGTACCTTCACTAGTTCTTCGATTGTAAGATAGTCATTAATTCCAGCATCTCTCCTGTAGCCCCAGGAAAACTTGTCTATTGTCATGCAATTCTCCCATTTATGAGGCAAAAGATGTCCTGGGTTGTACCGATCACTGCAGGTATAATAGCCACCATGCTTACAGATGGTACCATAGCCCCACCGGTCATTGGTCACAACTGTGTCCCGAACTGGGCTGAAACAATTTTTTAAATAAAACATAAAATATTTTACATAAAAGGAAATGTCACTGAAAAGAAGTCTAACTGAAATCCACTCCTGAAAAATCATCATAGCATAACATAATGCAAAGCCCATGGTTTTGAAGTCAAATAGACCTGGGTTGGTTGCAGTCCTGGCTGTCGCTTTCTAAGCTCCCTACCCGGAGTAAGTGACCTAACTCCTGAAGAATCAATTTCCTCATCTGTTATTAGAACAGAAATAATTTATGTAAAACACCTAGCCCAGCAACCAGGACATAGAGCACTTACAAGACTATCATACTATTATTTGAGGCTCCTTCTCCCACATGTTATGATAGCCAGAATTGAATTTACACTCAAAACATTCTTCTCACCTATGACTGAATAATCTCATACATATATTCTAGCCATCCTCTTACAGTTGTGCCTGATGTTGAAAAATCTCTGGCAAGTGGACTGTTGCCATCATGGAATTTACAGTGGCATGAAACAGACCCCACAACATTATCATCGGAGCAGGTGTGAAGCTCCTGCACCTCCCCACTTAGAAGAGACAGTTTGCTTTACAAACTGAAGTGGATGGTTCCCAGTCTTTCGTCTTGGAAGAAGTACCTGGAGAAACTGCTGCTTTAAGTAGCCAAGAGCTCTCCAGAATATTCTTATGCACACCCCAAGTGTGTCCAGGGAACACACGTAGAACACTCTCTGACTTCAGAACACAATATCGAGTATTTTCTAGTTACAAATATAAATTTGGTCCACATGATTTAAGCCTAATAGAGGAGCTCAGCCAGAACTCCCTGTTCTAATGGGGCAGTCTGGAACATGCTAGAAAGCTACATGTAAAGAACAGGAAATGGTGAGAATGCTGATGAAGGAGAGGAGGAGGCAGACAAGGGTGACAGTGACCAAGCAGCAAAGATTATCAAAGGGTCAGAAGATAAAAAGAAGGAACCAGAGGAATTGAAAAGCACATAATCACAAACAGTGAGGAATTGTCTCAGAATAGGAGATGAAAAGGGGGACCCACAAAATTAATGTCTTCAAAGTTCTTGATTCTGATTTTATCTTTTTTTAGTGATTCCAAATTTTTAATGATTTTAGTGATTTCAAAATCAGACTATTGAGTTGTATTTGACTCCTGATTTGTAACTCTTGCTTATTGATTACTCTGAGGAAAAACTGATATATTTAATGGGCATTACTTACAATGATTTCCTCCTACCCCACACCACAGATGAGCCTAAAAGGGAATATTTCACAAAGCAAACAGTATACATGTATGAGGAACATTTAGGGTCATGACAGCAATCTAATAGCATACACACCTTTCGTTATACAGCCAGGCTAAGAAGTCTGTGCTGTTCCAGTAGTAATCAGGGGCATGTCCATCACCATCCGACCACAGGATCTCCGGCTGATACTTGTTCACTAACTCATAGAGTTCCGGCAGTGTCTTAGAAACTGGAAACTGTTGCTGTTGGAATGACTTGGACTTATCCTCAAGGAAGAGTGGATGAAACCATTCAAAAAGGGAATGGTACAGTCCAAATCGCAGGTCAGTCCCATTCCTAATGGCTACCTCAAGTTCCTTGACGAGGTCCCTCTTCGGCCCCTCATCTACAGCATTCCAGTTCCATGAATACTTTGAGCCCCACAAGGTAAAGCCTGCACAATTATATTGAGTCTTTGTAAGAATATGAATTTGTTTTAGCAAATTTCCACCTCTATAAATGCCAAAACAAACGAGATAGTACATGTGACATATAAAAACTTCTACAACAACGGTTTTATGGCATGTTTTCTCATAGCACATATTCTACTTTTATACAAGGAACAAATGAGAATTTCAACAAGGTGGAACCAAGGGGGTTTTTTTTAGTAACTTTCTGGGTACCCCCTTAAGGTCTGTGTAGTCTGATCGATCTCCTATATTTTTCCTCTTAGAATAGAAGCTCCTTGAGGGATAGCATCATGCCTGCAGGATTCCCTGCTGTATCCTCAGCCCAACTGTTAGCAGAGGGTCTAACACAAAATCAACAATCAACACAGATCACAGCTAAGATGGGGACATCTTCCCCACATCTACCATACTAAACACTGACTGCTACTACTTATAATGAAGATCCTGAAATGCACTCCTGCAAGATTCTTACTTGTCTCCTAAACCAAAGATTAAAGTATGTTCCCTGGTTGGGGATGATTTTATGTAGTGTGAGTCTTAGAACACTGGCGATCCATATCTAATAGTACATCTTTAGCTTCATCGTTCATCCTTTATCACCAGAAGGGGAAAAGGTATTCTTCCCCAGTAGTTCTGTACTTTAAAATATTCCCACCATTTGTAATCTCATCCTTCTCTAAAGTCATAAACTTAGATGTTGCTCTTTAAACTATCTGAAATTATCTACCAATTAAATGGGTAAGAAAAATAATCTGTCTGCCATTAAATAAGCACTTTGAAATAATTCATATTTTAAAAGGAATTTGCATTTAGATTGTTCTATATAAAAATAATAGAAATGCTATATAAACTGAAATAATATAAAAGCCTCAAAAATTTTAGTTAGTGCCTAGGAACGTAAGTACATTGTTACTATCTCACTGAAATCTAAACAAATCTTTGAGAATAGACATACATAAGGCACTCTGTATTTACTCTTGTGAATTAGGACAAGTCTAAGATGGGACACAGTCTTCAGATTCATTTTCAAGAAGCATTTAAAACAGCTCACTCTTGTTCCAAAGGCATTTGTGGTAAGCTTCAAAGCCGTGTCAATATTTAAAGTCCTATTCAAAATGTTTCAAGTAGGAAGTCTAGTCAATAGAGCGTGCAACTCTTGATCTCAAGGTTGTGGGTTTGGGCCCCATGTTCAGTTGTAGAGATTACTTAAAAATAAGAAAAAATATTTTTTAAAAAATGTTTCAAGTTGACGGGCTCTATTGCCAGACAGTACAAAAACCATGTGGGTCTTCATCACCACCATAAAAGCTCACAGAGAGATCTTCCTGCCTACCAAGCTCAGGGGGCTTTTTTCCATAAAGCAATGAAAACATGAGTCCTATAAAGTTTACAAATGTGGGCTTCATTATCTCTCCTCACTGTATGATTAAACGTTATTTTGTTTTGCTTTTAAATAAGCTCACTATGTAATACTTTGTGCCATACAGCTTAAAGAGTTCCTAGACATCAGGAAATCAACATGTTCAAGCAAATACACTTTCTAAATATCTACCTCAGTAGGAGAAACATCTATAGGAGAAAGTCATTAAGCCACTAGAATGTAGCCAAAGGGAAAAGTATTCTAAGATAATTACAGATTTTTGGTTTTGATTCTTCCCTCCTATTCCCCTCCCCACCTCTGGAGAAGGCACTGAGGCAAAATTCTTTATACCAGGCAAAGATGGTCATGCAAAGGAAACTGTCAAATGAATTATCATGTGGTTGGGATAGTAAACAATTTGTTGATGCTTCCTTGATCTTCTGGATACTAGAACAGTAATGGGTGGAAACTATCCTATTAATGTAGGACCCCTGTGATGGATAATTTTATGTCAACTTCACTGGGCCACAGGGTGCTCAGGTATTTGATTAAATATTATTCTGAGTGTGTCCATAGGGGTATTTCTGCATGAGATTAACATTTTTTTTATTATTATTATGTTATGTTAATCACCATGCTTTACAACATTAGTTTTTGATGTAGTATTCCATGATTCATTGTTTGCGTATAACACCCAGTGCTCCATGCAGAACGTGCCCTCTTTAATACCCATCACCTGGCTAACCCATCCCCCTACTCCCCTCCCCTCTAGAACCCTCAGTTTGTTTTTCAGAGTCCATAGTCTCTCATGGTTCGTCTCCCACTCCCATTCCCCCCCCCTTCATTCTTCCCCTCCTGCTATCTTCTTTTTTTTTTTAAACATATAATGTATTATTTGTTTCAGAGGTACAGATTTGTGATTCAACAGTCTTGCACAATTCACAGCACTCACCATAGCACATACCCTCCCCAATGTCTATCACCCAGCCACCCCATCCCTCCCACCCCCCACCACCCCAGCAACCCTCAGTTTGTTTCCTGAGATTAAGAATTCCTCATATCAGTGACATCATATGATACATGTCTTTCTCTGATTGATTTATTTTGCTCAGCATAATACCCTCCAGTTCCATCCACGTCATTGCAAATGGCAAGATTTCATTCCTTTTGATGACTGCATAATATTCCATTGTGTATATATACCACATCTTCTTTATCTATTCATCTGCCGATGGACAGCTTGGCTCTTTCCACAGTTTGGCTATTGTGGACATTGCTGCTATAAACATCAGGGTGCACGTACCCTTTCGGATCCCTACATTTGTATCTTTGGGGTCAATACCCAGTAGTGCAATTGGTAGATCATATGGTAGCTCTATTTTCAACTTTTTGAGGAACCTCCATACTGTTTTCCAGAGTGGCTGCCCAAGCTTGCATTCCCACAGGGATGAGATTCGGAGAAAGAGATTAACATTTAAATAGGTAGACTGAGTAAAGCAGATAGCTCTCTCCAGCGTGGGTGTGCCTCAGCCAATCTGTTAAAGACCTAAACAGAATAAAAGGCTGAGTAAGAACTCTGCCTGTCTGAGCTCACACCTTCTGCCTTTGGACTCAGACTTGGACAAGAACCTAAATCATCATCCACACTCCTGGTTCTCAGGCCATTGGCCTCAGACTGGAACTGTACAGGCAGCTCTCCTGGATCCGGATTTCTGAGCTCCATAACTGCATGACCCAGTGTTTTATAATAAATATCTTTATATATCATACTTCCACTTGGTTCTGCTTCTCTGGAGAACCTTGACGAATACAACCACCATGTTTCCTTTTAGATATGCTTCCACCACCTCTGACATTTGTGGGCCCCATTACAGTCCCATTGTCTTTGTCCTTCTAGGTGATCTGTGTCGCTTTCATTACTAGCAAACCATCCACCACTGGGCTATCTAAGAGTTGGCCAAAGGTGCAGCAAGGTGTGTGGATAATGACACAAGACTACAGCAGCATAATCCCCATGGTGATGGAGCCTTCCCAGAATGTATTACGGAAGTGCAATGAAAGCAAAGAGGGCAGGGCGCCTGGGTGGCTCAGTCGGTTAAGCATCAGACCCTTGGTTTCAGCTCAGGTCATGATCTCAGGGCTGGGCACAGAGTCTGCTTCAGATTCTCTGTCTCTGCCCTCCCCCCACTCAAGCTTGTAAGCGCACGCGCTCTCACTCTCTCTCTCTCTCTCCCTCAAATAGGTGAATAAATAAAACCTAAAAAAAACAGGAAAGAAAAGAGGGTAATTCTAATTATAAACTTGGAGCTGCAACCCACATCTCACTTCAAATAGCTTCAAATGAAATCTTGGAAATATTGTTAAATATGCACATAACAAAATGTGATCATTTTTCTTTTTTTTTCATTTTTGGATGGAATATGTGGTCCCTTAAATTACAGGCAAATGTCAGTAGCCACTAACTGGTGTTCCTCAGAGAAAACTGATTTCATGTGTTTTAGTTTCTTCTTCCAAAAGAACTACTTTACATTTCATAACTATTGTCAGTGTTTGCAAATGTTGCACTTACTTACCTTCATGATGTTTGGAAGTTAAGACAATGTATTTGGCACCAGAAGCCTGAAAAATATCTGTCCAGTGGCTCACATTAAAAAACTTTGCTGTAAATAGTGGTCCAAAATCTTCATACTTGAAATTAGGAGGGTAATTATTTTTCATAAATTCCACATACGTCGGTATCTTTTTCTCTTGCCAATACCACCTAAGGGAGGAAGAGACACAACACATAAACGGCATACACATAAACATTTGAAATAATTGCCCCAACTCCCCTTACTAATTCCCCCTTACTCAAATATTACCCAAATTCTTTCTCACTTCCCCATTAGTTTGACTTTGCCTTAAAGAAAGCTTAATGGAAACTTCCCTCGCTCTCCATCTATCCCTCTGAACATTCTAGACAACTCAGCTACCTATTTGCTCTTAATTCTTCATTTTTAAATCACAATATGTAGTATGTATCTTTACAGTCTTCAAAAGGAAGATCACATGCCTAAAACAACATGCATCTTTTATATTCACTAGCAAAGAACAAATGGGGTAGTTGGCAACAGTAAAATTAAAATGATACTGTTATTTTAATATATTGACTCAGCCTTTAAGGATTACTTGTTGTGCATCCCTTCTGAGCAAGGCCTTCCTGCCTTTGGACAAGGTTGTGTGAAGCAATGCCTGGCTGCCATGATGTGACCATGAAGGGACAAGTCAACAGGCTGAGGATGACAGAAATAGGTTAGTTCTTTGATTTCATCAATGAGAAAACTATCTCTACATTTCTTATGTTGAGTAACAAACCCTTATTATTACATCATTTACTTAGGTTTTCTGTACCTTGAAGTGAAAGTTAAGCATCAGACCCTAACGGATCCATGATGCATTTTTGCGTTTTAAACTGAACTACAGGGGCACCTGGGTGGCTCAGTTGTTAAGCGTCTGCGTTTGGCTCACGTCATGATCCCAGGGTCCTGGGATCGAGCCCCACATCAGGCTCCTTGCTCGGCGGGGAGCCTGCTTCTCCCTCTCCCCTCTGCCTGCTGCTTCCCCTGCTTGTGCTCTCTCTGTCAAATAAATAAATATTTAAAATAAATAAATAAATAAACAAACAAACAAACAAACTGAACTACAAAAGACAAACTGGGACAGTCAGAAGGTTGAACAAGGATGAGGGATTTCTTTTTCTCCCAGCACAGTTTAATTTGAACCTACATTCTCTATTATAGTCTAGAGTTACTTTTCAAATTCCATACTAATAGAGATGAAAAGAGGCACTTACTATAAAGAACCCATCATTTATATCTGGGTTTGAATTGCTATTAAGGACATCACATATACTCATCTCCACTGCTGACTGTTCTGAGTTAAATTGGGGTAGGGAGCAGAGATTCAGAGGAGACACAGAGGGAGACCATAGATAATTAAAAAATCTTCTACAGGGTTGGGATGCCTGGATGGCTCAGTTGGTTGGGTGTCCAGCTTTGGGTTTTGGCTTGGGTCATGATCTCAGGGTTGATCAGGTCATGATCTCAGCCCTGTGCAGGGCTCCACACTCAGCACAAAGTCCCTTTCCCTCTGCGTACCCCCCCAACTTGCATGCACACACTCTCTCTCTCAAATAAATACATAAATAGAATCTTTAAAAACAAATCTTCTACAGGGTTAATGCACCTCCAGACCATCAGAAATATATTCTAGTTAGTTTTGTATGATCAGTATCTTTATTCTCCTAGGTCAAAACAAACAACCCTGTGTTTATTTGTAGAAAATGAAAAGTTAACCATTGCCAAGAATAACATAACTCAAAACTAGGTATTTTTGGCATAGCAATAGTCTCAATTAACATCAAATCCTCTTCTAGCACCAAATGTATATTTACCTAATATTCCTGGCTGAACAAAATGATAACGTATAATTTATTACATCCTAACATTAGGGGAAGAAAATCTGTTAGTTTATGTACCTGGCTAATCTGAAACATTTCAAAAATATACTCAAAATGCCTTACAGCACAAAACTTGCAAACGAAGATTTATAACATCCTGAAGTAAATATGTCTGGTAACAGACCATATGGGAAAAAAGAGTCCCTTGTTTTACAAGTTGATTTCAAAAGAGTGTATGAATAGTGCCCCATAGCTTACACATTCTTTTATATCAGTTGGCCTAACTTAATGAAAATGGTTACTGTTTACAGAAAGTCAATGTATTTGTAGAAAGTGGTACAATGTATACCATGTAATGTTAATATAATATATATAGTTTATACTCTGTTGTATCTACTATATATTGTAGATATTAAATTTGATGCATATTATGTATATAGTATAAAATAGAGTTAAATATTCCTTTATTTTCTTATTTTACACAGGAATACATTATATATGTGTGCACATTATATATATACATTTGGTAACATTTCTATCTTGAAGAACTTAATACCTGAAGTATTTAATCCGGAAAGGTAGGTGAAACAGTTCAAAGTTATAACAGATTACATGCACATTTTTACATAGATCTCAATAAAGTCTCAAGAGCAGTATTTGTGCAGCACTTTTCATATAATAATTAGGGAGTCTTTTTAAGATAACATTCTGGAACTTTTTTTTTTTTTTTAAGTAGGCTCCCGGCCCAGCGCAGAGCCCAACAGGCGCTTGAACTCAGCACCTGAGATCAAGACCCCCGCTGAGATCAAGCGTCAGAGGCTTAATCGACTGGGCCACCCGGGCTCCCCTCTAGAACCTTTTTTTAGTTCCTAGAGCCACACGTGGTTAACATTTTAACATTAAAGAGCCAACGCATGTCCAAATGAACAGAAGTTTCACATACTCGTAACCATACTCGATGGCAGAACAGCGATGGCCAACCGTTTAGGCCGAAGCCTCGCGGTTCCTCGCACGACCCCCCACACAACTGGAATCATTTCTGCCGCCTTAGTGCCTCGGTGGTCACAGTGTGGCAACCCCAGCTTGACACGTGCAACCAGCAGGAGGCTGAGAAGCCAGGGCTGCACGAAGGCCCGCCGACGCCGGCAGTCCCGCGAAGAGCAGTGCAACGCTCACCCAGCACCTACGCGGTGCCTCCTGCACTCAACACCCGGAAGTGCTGAACGCGCGGGAGGCGAAGCCGCCAGGGGCCCCGCAACCCCCCGCGACCGGGGGCTGGGCGGTGGCGGCAGGCCCGGGGCGGGGGGCGGGGGAAGCGAGTCGGAGCCGCCGGAGGGGGCGCGCTCACCAGAACCATTCGCTCCCGAAACTGGGCACGGAGAACACCCCCCAGTGGATGAAGATGCCGAACTTGGCCCGGTCGAACCAGGCCGGCAGCGGGCGGGCGTCCAGGGACTCCCAGGTGGCGTCGAAGCGCGGCGCGGGGGGCGCGGTGCTGGGGGCGGGCGGCGGCAGCGGCAGGAGCAGCAGCGGGAGCGCCAGCCCGAGCGCCCGCGGCGCCTGCGGCCGCATGTCCGCGCGCCGCTCTCCGTCCCGCGGCGGCCCCCCTGCGCGCGTCCTTCCGCGTCTGCCGACGAGTGAGCTCGGCGCTGTCACCTGACCGCGCCGTCCGGACGGAGGAGCCTCCCGGCTGCCGTTCCGGGCGCTGCAGCCCAGGGACCCCCGGCGCGCTGCAGAACCAGGGAGGCCGGTAGTGGTGCCCGCCCGCCCTGCGGCTGCTTAGCGTAGAGCTCCGGGACTGTCCGCCTCGTGCGGAAGAAGAGTCAAGTTCGGGGACCTGTGGGAGCGCGTATTCGCTGGAGCAGCACGACCCTTAGAAACCGCCCGGGAGGGGCGCGTGGGTGGCTCAGTCGTTAAGCGCCTGCCTTCGGCTCAGGTCATGACCCCAGGGTCCTGGGATCGAGCCCCGCATCGGGCTCCCTGCTCCGCGGGAGGCCTGCTTCTCCCTCTCCCACTCCCCCTGCTTGTGTTCCGGCTCTCGCTAACTCTCTCTCTGTCAAATAAATAAAATCTTTAAAAGAGAGTGAGAAAAGAAAAAAAAGAAACTGCGGGGGAGTGCAATGTGACCCACCGGGACGGGTGCTGCCCTGGGCCCAGAGGCCAAGGCAGAAGGAACCTCGCGCCGGTCATCCAGTCCCTTGCAGGTCCAGCGCACCAAAACAACCCAGATCATTCTCGGCCTCTGTATCCACCTCCACCACCACTCGCCCACCAAGCTTCTGGATGTGTTAAAACCGTGGCGGTCAACCTGGAGTCTGGGTCAGGTGAAATCCCAACAGTCTCCAGTTGAGGTTGGGGGCCCAGAATTTGCATTTCTAACGAAGTCCTAGATGATGCTGATGTTGCTGGTCCTGGTCACCAAACTTTGAGAATCACTGCATTTTCTAAAAATGTTTCTAGAAAACATAGTGATCTAAGGTGAGACCAGTGGCATGAATGTTTAAGAAATCTGCAGGCGTGGGGAAAGTAGCCAGAAACTTGGAAGGATTGATCAAGGGACAACTTCAGAAGCTCCCCTCTCCCCTTCCTAAAGGCTTTTAGAGTAAAACCAGAATCCCTTCTGCTCCTGCAAAACCCCTCTCAGCCATTAATGGGCCAGTTCACATGTCACCTCCTCCCAGCTTTATGTCACCACCTTCCCTCCCAAATGTTTTACTCCCCACTAACTGTTCCAATAAACATCTTGTTCCAACCACGAATATAGGATTCCATTGATTGTTTTGTAGTTAGGAGGACACAGATCTTATTTCCCATGAGGCTGTGAGCTTCCTGAGGTCAGGGATGGCAACCATTTCTGTAGATCCTGAATTTAAAGCAGAGCCTGGCATGGAGCAGCACTTAAAGCATATTTGTTCAAGTCCTCCAGTGAACTGGGGTTCTAATTATTGAGCTTTATGAAAGAACGAAGAAGGAAATGACACTAACTGTCCCATCTCTGCAAAGACATGGGAGCAGCACCCCAGGTAAAATGGCAATTACCTGCTTGATGCAGTGTGAATGGCTCCCCAGGATCACAGCTCCACCATAAGGGCCCCAGTCTTCCCAGGGTGAGGGTCTCCTGGACAGGAGGGATTGGGGAATCTGCTGAGCATGCACGACCAATTGCAATCGCCTCAGTTCGTGATAAAGTGGGGTGATCATTTTTATTATTCTAGGGGCAGAGGGCAGGCTTCCCCAAGATGGGCCACTTCGGCATGAAGATTATTCTGAGCTGAAGACAATAGAGACCCTATGGGCTCAAGAGAAACTTTTGCCCCTCCCTAAACTACATAACTGGAGGTCTTTCCCAGAATAAGCATTATTAGCTGAGATAAATTTTATCTGAGTGACCCATCTGTATGGCAGGGCAAACATCTGCTCTTCTTACTGCCCTGTGAACAGCATTCCTTTCCTCTAAAGTCCCAGATCCCTGCTCCCTCCTCCTTAGTTCAGAATGACACATACTCCTCATTTTGCCTGACTGTTTTTGGAACTTCTGTGTCTGTGTGGATTCTCCATCTGTGCACTATTAAATTCCGTTTCCTCCTGTTAATCTGTCTCATGTCCATTTGATTCTGAGTCCAGCTAGACAGACCTTGAGGGGACAGGAACTCCTGCTTCCTGACAGTTGGCCTAGTCAGCAGGACCCTTAAACTCACAGGACGTAGCTCTGTAGCTCACCCCAGTACTGCTGCAACGGAGAGGTCCTGGGACTTCTGACACACAGCCGCCGAAGGTGAGATCGCTCACCATGTCAGCCTCCCAGGATCTCTGTCTGTGAGTCCAGTGGAGAAAGAGCTGTGAGAGTCCTTTTTCCTTTGTCAATTGAGATCGGCAGGAGAAAATATTTGTGCAACTAGTTGCTTGGGTCTGGCGACTCTTTGGTTAACTTTAGTTAGAGTACTGTTCGGTTACTGGTCCACTTCCTCCAGGAGAAGGTCTTTGTCTTCCTTTGTCTGTGTCTTTTATGTTGCTTGTCATCTGCTGCTAAGGGACATCTTGGAAGTTAAAGCTGCAAAATTCATGGGCACGGGCTGAACACTTAAAAGCTGTTAGAGGGCACGCCACCTCAAGAAGACTCCCGTGGTAGGATAAGTTGGTCACACTGGGTCACCTGCCAACTTCAAGAAAACTTCCATGCAATGAGGTACACTGTATAGCAACACGCATTCCCCAACCACATGGCGTATCTCTCCTAGGTTTTAGTTTGGTTCCAAGAGACCCAAGGCTTAAAGCTGTTAGAGTTGTCTGTTAGTCTTGTTCTGTGTCCTGAGAGCTTGGCTTTGTGATAAGAATCTTCTCTTTGGCCTCCACCACCTGGGAGGAGATGCACTTACCGGGTGCACTTTGGTGGCCAGTTGAATAGACTGGGGATCCAAGTATCTCTGTCTCTGTCTCTGTCTGGCTATGCCAATTCTCAGGAATGTTTGTCATGAGAGGTTTTAGCCCATAGGAACCTGTGTTGTCTCAACTTGTGTTGCTTGGTAGTGCTGGAAAGTCTCATTCCAGAAGCATTTGTGTGGTGTCACAGATTAGTGGGTCATCTCACATTTTCATGGGAGATGAGAGACACCATTTTCACTTACACCATCTTTACTGCCCTAGGCAACCAAGGCCTTTGCTTTCTTAGACTAATTTTGAGAGTAAACTTTTGGATCATGAGGGCACATCATTTGTGCCCTTCTGGATATTTCTTGAGTCTTTGGTTAAGCCATTAGAAGGCTTACTGGTTTGAGTCACTATTAATAGATCCTATTTGCCAATGGCTGGGTGGTGGATCATTTAAATTGGCTTTATTTAAATGTATATATATATATTTTTTTTTTTTTTTTTTTTTTTTTTGAGCGTGCAAGCCAGAGTGGGGGGTAGAGGGAGAGGGAGAGAGAGAGAGAATCTTAAGCAGGTTCCATGACAAACGTGGAGACTGACACAGGCTTGATCTCATCACCCTGAGATCATGACCTGAGCCAAAATCAAGAGTTAGACACCTAAACAACTGAGCCATCCAGGTGCCCAAATATATATATATATATTTCCCCCCCCCCAAAGAGCTCTCAATTGTCTTATTAGTATAACAGCTAGCCTTAGGGACTTCCTTGACAAGATAAAAGCATAGAACTTAGACTTAGGAATCAAAAATAAGAGTCTACATCCAATGTTAATTCCTCTTCTTAAAATCCAGCCTGGGGCACCTGAGTGGCTCAGTTGGTTAAGCGTCTGACTTCGGCTCAGGTCATGATCTCAGGGTCCTGGGATCAAGCCCCATGTCAGGCTTCCTGTGCCGTGGGGCGTCTGCTTGTCCCTCTGCCCCCCCCCCCACTTACACTCTCTCAAATAAATCAATAAATAAATATCTTTAAAAAAAAAAATTCAGCCTACCTGCCTGTTTTAACTTCCCTTTCCTACAAGATTTACAGAGATTACTCTGGCCTTATCTCTAGGTTCTAAGTATATAGGTTACTCATGTAAATGCTGAAAGCCAGAAAATAAATTTAACCAAAGCTTCCAAGAATGGAAATAAGGCTTGCTTTGCCCCTACCTTTGGGCTCTGTAATCAGGTTCTGCCTGCTTTAGACATTCCTATACAGTGTTCCTTGCAGGTTTGTCCTAGAACACCCCTCCCACCCCCCCACCACTGCAAAAAAATTTATGTCCCTGGACGGCAGCAGATCTTTTAAATTATACAGCCATTTTACTTCTATTTTCAAAAGATCCTACCAAATTTAGAGAGTAATTAGGAAGATTATTTGACTATATTCACAATCTTCCCTTGACTGAGGAAATAGATGACCAAAATTTCTCTAGGCCCTCCTAGAAATGGTCTGCAAGAGGCCAATAATCAGGAGCTAATTGAAGCCGAGGTTAAATTGTGTACCCAGAAAAAAGGCTTTTGTTAAAAATGGTTTATACAGATTTTACAAAGGCATAAATCTTTTGGTTCCCATTTTAGTTAAAATTCTCCCTGATATAAAGAAGCAAATTTAGTTAAAAAGATGAGTCAATCCCTTGATATTTGAGCTGTAATCCAGGTCTTTAGGGAATTAGGAATAACTGTCTTTTTCTTATAAATCTCTACAAAACCAGGAATACAACTCTAGAAACAAGTAAAGCCCACCTATCTTTACCAATCTCCAAACCTTGCCTATTCCTCTCAAGATGTTTGTGGATATTGTAAAAGATGGGGATATTGGAACAAAATTGTTCTCTATTAAAAAAAAAAAAAAGAAAGAAAAGTAAATTTTAAATAGCAATTACCCTGAAACTCTAGAAAAAAATTTTTACATTCTTTCTGTGTCCCTTGAAATTATAAATCTTATCACATCTTTGAAATGTGAACACAGCCCACAGTCTCCTGAGACTGAAGGGGGGAAAAAAATAGAGAAAAGTATTTAAAAACTGAGCCTGTAATGTCCTCTCCACAAATACTAGTAGAAACAAAATTAAGATTTTGTTTACATCTTGTCTGCGTATATTGTATGTGTGTATCCATGTATGTTATAAATGTGAAATATTTTCTCTACTTCTCGATGGTATTGCTAAAATTAATTTGTAAAAGAGCTTTATTTAGTTGGTTTGAAGGCACACACTTGTAAGGATTGGGCATTTGAAAACTCAGAAAGATAGAAACTAACCCAAATGTTTTTCAAGTTCACATGATCTGGGAAAATATTTGGTATTAAAGCTAAGTTAAGGTTGTTGGCTTAATTAAAATAGACGTGTCTTTAGAGTTATCA